TAACAAAATATTTTCTCTGTATCTAAGAACACAAGAGACATCTCATGTATTCCAATAATGTTCTTAAGGAACTTTCCATAAAAATTATCAATAAACTATAAGTATATATAAATAAAATTATATATAATTGCTCTTATTCCAAGGCGTTTCATGTTCTGTCTGTTCTTAGATTTTTTATTAAAGTTTCAAGGTTTTTAGTGCAAAAGTTTTATAATAACATTACCTCTTGGTCACGTGAAAACCAATTCGATGCGATCAATCATTAAATGATTAAAAAAATACCTGCAGAATCGATTCATACTTATTAAATAACAGTTTCTCATTAAATTTATCAAGTAATTAAATTATGTTGGAGCTCATTATTATTACGTAATTATTACAGATCGTGGAGAAAGTCCAATCTGTTTGATCATTTTTTTGTGTTTAGATTGTATCTAATGAAGAGTCTAATTTACTTTTGTTTATGTAGTATTAAAATAATGGTATATTACATATTACAAACTTAAAAAAATTATATATTTTTTAAATGTAGTAATACATTTTATTTTATGTTAAAATTGGTTTGTGTAAATATAATTGAAAATCAATATACAATTAACTCGTACATATTTACCAAATCTGTGTCGAACATCACATATATATTTTTTTTATAGCCCAGGCAAAATTAAACTTGTTTTTTTATTACGTAACACATCAATTTATGAATAATATGCCGAGGTCCTTTAACGGTTGTAATTTACTATCCATTCACACAGTTTATACATAATCCTTTGTACAGTGGTTTTGTTCCTTGGCCACTATACAATAATCCTTTATCCATTCAGGGTATTTCGCTCCCCAACTCTAGAGAAAAGCTCTGTTGTTCTACACAAAGCCGTTGCAAATTTTGAATATAAAATTCTAAAAAGCAATTAAATTTTAATTAGAAAATTATACTAATTTTATAAATATTTTTTTTTATATAAGTTATATCGAATTTCTTGTGATACATATACTTCTTTATAATGAATTTTTAAAACGAAATTCTGGGCTATACAGAATTACATATTAAGAAACTTTTATTAAAAATCTTATAAAGTTTTTAGAAACAAATTATAAAATAACGTTGCAATATTAAAGACAGTTGAAATAAATATGGAAATAGTTAAAAATTAAAATATAAAAGTAACGTTCATTATGTTATTTTTAAATGAAAATATAATTTGTTAAATGCTTGAAATAGTAAGTACTTTCGTCTAGTTTAAATTAAATATATGCCTTTTATACATTTGTATTTTATAGAACGTCTCGGTTTTATTGTTTTACTTTTATGTTTGTTGTTGGGAACATTAAAGAGAGACTTTTACACGATAGTTTCAGAGCGAGGACTCTGTAATAAATTCTATCCAGTTTTATTCCTACGGAGAGAACAAAGGGAGTACAGTGCACTTTCAAAAGCCATGCAATTACTCCGGACTAAATGAACGTAAAATTGAAACAAAGAAACCAGTTGGCGACTGATCGCCGAGGATCATTTATTTCCAGCAAAGGAAAAGATCTCCACTTCCTCCTTCACCGCCTTCAGATTTTTCAGTCGAGTTGCGTCCTTAAAACGGCACCACGAAATCAATTAACGAATACTTTTTATTCCGATGATGGCAGGAATTAATTTCGCGAGATTCCTTTGAAGAGTCCCCCTCCCCCCCTCTTTGTAACAGTAGTGATTTAATAATTAATCCTTGAGAGGGCAGAGTTCACTCCATCGAAAATTATATTAATAAACGAAGTTCTCGGGCCATCTCCTCTCACCCTTGTCTCGAGATATCGTTTGACGATTCAATTACCCAAACTGCTCCGGTTTTGGTTAAGTCTGTTGTGGATCCTCCAGAATACCGTAGTGCCAATAACTGTGTACGAATCAATTAAATCACCGAAGAAGATGAAGGAGAAGTAGAAGAAGGCCAGAGCGTTTTGATTGAGCAATATAAATTCAGGACGGCACTAATCAATCGGCGCTCGGCCTCTTTATTGAAGAAGAAGAAAAAATAAGATGAATGAAATCCGCGACGTCGGGATGCTGCTGGTATTGATCCCCTTTCTGCAGCACACACTTAAGTGCCATCTCTCCCTTATAATGACATTAAACAGGGCGAAGCGATGCTCGGATCGGAGATGAAGAATAAGAAACTTGCACTTCTTCTACCGATTCCACTTTAGATATTAACGCAGTTCCTACTTCTTCGTCGTGTTTTCTTTTTTTTTTGCTTCTTCGCCTTATCCCCAATTCCGTTTTGCTTTCCGGCTGCTATGTCTTTAATAAAAAGGGGAAAATTTAATAAACGAAACTGTTATGCGTCGCGGCGCTCGTTCGGAATTCAAAGCCCGCAATTTCCAACTGTCTGTGAAATGCAAGTCGCTTTGAGCACCGAAACGAGGACATATTAAAATAACAAATCCCTTCAGCTCGAACCGAAACTTATTTTTTTATCCTTATATATTTATTTACTCTTTGTCTTGAGTCGACTACCTGAACGGATGCGGGAAAATTTAAGTTGAGAAAATCAGGACTTGTTTACTTCTCAGATGTTTACTGCACGTAGCCTTCCCCTAAATTACATTTAATATTTGAAAACACGCTGAAACTGCTAAGTAAATCAACAAATAAATAATTAATTAATATTGTTCATTCAATAGAAAGCATATTTAGTTATAACAACTATTTTGAGTAATTTTGATATATGATTTATGTAAAAATGCATAATTTTAATATTTGGTAATAAATTAAAAATTCTATATAATCTTTGTGTGGAATCATATATTATAAATTTCATATTAATATTTATTACTTACATTAAAAAATGATTTAAATGTAAAAATGTAGGGTATTTACATTAAAGAAAAGTTGATAATATTTAAAGGACGAATGAGTTGTCATTGGTTACCAGTTCAACCGAGTTTCCTTCGTCGATGAAAAATCAAATGGATGGCTGAACAAAAATTTATTTTTACAGATGCTCGAGAAGAGCGAGAGAGGAATTAGAATGTTCAGTTGAGTTGTTCTTTTGCCAGCGACCTAATTTTCTTGTAATATCTTACATACAAATGGTGAATGTTAATAGCAACGCTCCCCTTCCTTTGTGTAGAATCCACGATCAACTCCTTACAGCATTCAACGGTTTCCGAGAGTGCCCTCCGCCAAGGCTTCATATTTCTGATGCTATTCACCAGAACTCTCGGCAACTTTGTTTCGTATTCTTTGAGTGCCGGATCGCCAGGATTGAACGTATGGCACATCCTCACTAAATCAGTTATGTACGGATGCAAGTATTCGAGCGTGTGCTTGATGTACGACATGTACTCCATCCAGCATTCGTATGCAGCTTCCAAATAGGGCTCGTTATCATGCGAAGTGGGCCGTATCAGTTCTTCTGTAAATGATTGAATTGATGAGCACTATGTGCGAGTGGAATGCCTAATTTAGTTATGCTCACGGATAAAGTGCGCGTATATCTTGCAGTTCCTCTGCATATCGTACACCAAAATAATGTAATACTTGACGGCAAGAGATGGCACATCGTTCGAGCCGTACTTGTTACGTTGCACGAAGAATTTTGCTAAACATTCGGTGGCCATCCGTACATCATCCTCGCTATTAAACCATTTCGGCTCGAGATGGTCTTGGTAAATCTTCAGTTCTTCGCTGAAACTCGTCATGACCTTCTCGTCTTTGACTTCGTCTTCGTGCAGTATATAACTGTTGTTCGGAGTTTTACACATTCTCTCGGAATACTGCTCTTCCTCGACTTGCGTTTTCTGTTGGTGATCACCGCACGCCGCATCTGGTGATACTTCGCTTCCGCGATTCCCGGATTGGTCTCTTTGCAACTTCTTCGCTTTAAACAGCACTCTCATCTCCTTAGCGGATGAATCGTGATCTCCGGCCTGTTTCTGTCTCATCATCTCAGCGTCTTCTAAACGCTTAATTTTATTGGTCAAATTTTTTATCGCCCTCCATCGCATCTTATCGTTCATATTGTCAAATTTCACTTTGCTACTTCGATTTACCGAGAGAATTAATTCCAAAAGCTTCTTGAGACGATCCCTGCAATCATCGTTGAATATATGGTAGTGTTCTTTCAGCACCGCCTCAACCAAGTGACAGTTCGGCAATGCCAATTGTCTTAAGCGATCGCTGTACGTTTCCCTGGCAACATCTTTTAATTTCAAAGAGAAATTTTCATCATGGTTATTGCGATGATGGCGATGATGATGATGATGGTTCTTAGCTCCTTAAAGCTTTCAGTGCAGTTTAAAGCGAATGGGTTTAATTTAATCTTTCGTACCTGGGGATCTGCTAGACGCCTTCATAATTTTCCACGAAACTGTGAATTTCTTGCGAACCGACAAAAACAATGATCACGTGAAATTTAAACTCCAAATGTTTTATACGTGATTACCAACTGGCATTTGTCACTCGAAACAAATTTCCTTGACAGTTTCTAGCCGATTTGTTGCCATGGAACTTTCGGAACGAGCTACTGCGTTTTGCAGGCAGATAAAGATTTAAGTAATTAACGTGTATGTGGAAGGGGAGGATTATTATACTTTTTTTTTTCGCTTCCCTTCTTTAACAAGGGAGGGTTCGTTAACATTGCAGGAGCACGGAATTTACGAACTTTCGAGCCCCTTGCCCTGGAGGAGTGCTTTAGGGCAGCAGGGGTTGGTTGGCTGGTTGGGTTGGTTTAGCGAGTGAGGAGGAAATGCAACCCTTATCGGTTGCATGCAGGATAATAAAGCAGCGCACTTGACATTCCCCGGGACATATATCAGAAACTTTCAGCGTTGCCGCGGGGGTGCGATTATTGATTTTTATTAAATACGAAACCCCTCACACACATAAAGATAAGACCACGACTTTGTACAAAAAAAATGCCAAGAAGAAACGAACATCAGCGTTCACGAACTTTCGGCCAGTCACTCACTCACTGTTTGTATTACTTCCATTTCCCAACTATTTCAACATGCAAACGGTATACACTACTAATTAATTAGCATGATTCTGAAGTTTTTACTTGACGAAGAAAGAGAGATTCTTTTAAAAGATGAAAGAACATAACTCCATTGAAGGCATAAAACATGTACATGTACATTCAATATAATTTAAAAAAATCTGATTAACAAAAGCATAAACGACATGTAATCATAATTATATTCTGGAATTTATATATAACTGAGATGTCTCTATTGTCATATGTTACACTAATCCATAAATTTTATTATTTGAATTATACCAATGTCAATTAAGTTAATTAACTTAAAATAATTATATACATTAAAAGCACATTATAACAGTACTAATGACGACAAATTTGTAATGACAGCTAAGCCATTACAAAAAAATATAATTTGATTTTAAATTAATTGTAAAGAATTAACAAATAATTAACATAATTATCAATATTGACGGAAAGTCAATATCCCTTTATCTGTATGTAAACAACAAATTAAATTTATTATGAATGTCATGTATAATTGTTACAAACAAGATTTAGTACAATAATTCAAATACTTATAGCAAAAAATGTATGAAACAAAAAAACACACATGTATAATTGCAACGGGGAATTGACCATTAAGTGCAATAATTATAAGATTGCCATGTTAATAAATTGTACAAGTATATTTTTATTATACTTCGCATTGCTGTTTAAAGGAAGATTATTTATGTTTGCCCTTAGGTATATGTGCTTAGATACTTTTTCATTACTTTGTAGAAAGTTTGAATGAAGGAACATTGATTAAAAATGTTGAAGATATCTTTGTTTTATATCAAAAAACTTAAGGTTTTTACAAACAAATATTTTTTTATGAAACTTAGTGCTGTTTAAAATAAGATGATTATATTTTACTCTCTTGGAGATTAAATGTTAGTTTTTTTATAATTTTAGTTTAAACGGAGATAACATTGTTTTATTTAACAAGAAACTTAAGGTTTTATCGATTCAAACAAATAGATTTGCATTTTAGGCATCATCGGATTAAATTGGATTTAAAGTGAAAATTTAATGAATTTACGCAATACGCAACAAAATCAGATTAAGTTCATTGAATGTGATGATTAAAATCGGCGCGGTGCAACCTCGGAAACAAAGTTACTTTAAGCCTGGGATGGATTATGGATCTTTGGCTGTCTGAATTTGAAGAAGTTCGAATTAATCCCACTTCGCTTTTTACATGCAGCGGTGGGTTTAATTAATTAATCGCGAATGGAAATGACGAGGGACGATCCCGAATAATGTTCTCAGGTGTAATGGACTTTATCCTCCATTACGTTATCAAAACTCGGTCGTCCTTCCCCTAGATTTTGGGTGCACGAAAAAGAAATAGAAGGGAGGCTCACCCTCTTCGGTTTCAAAAGCTTTCCTCCTAGCAGGAAAGGAAGACGCCCCCGCAGGGCACATTTTATTATAGTAATCTCGCCATATCAAATCTTGGAAAGAAATCATTACCGATGTCGCCGGAGCGACAGTAATGGATTTCTTTTATAATTTGTTCCGTCGAGGCGAGAAGGCGTCGACGAGGCGCGTTTCAATGCAAATTTAATTTTGTTAATTTATCTCTAACATTCTCTCTCTCTCTATTTCAGACTGAATTATCCCATAATCTGCAGCAGTTGTCGGAGAGGGCGCGATCGACGACCGAGTTCATACAGAGGCTCAAAGGGATGAGCGATAAAGTCAACGTGAGTATTCTCGCTCTGGGTGTTGGATGTTTTGAGTGGACGTTTTTAATTGCTTCTTCTTTGATTCGCAGGAGAACTGCCTGGAATTCGAGAGTTTGGTTTCCGCCCAGTGTGATGCCCTGATCGCGGCCATCCATGCCCGTAGGGCACAGCTGCTCGAGTGCATCAGACAGGACAAAGACTTGAGAGTGCGGGCCCTCAAGGAGCAAGTCGCGACCTGCACTGCCCGCCTCCAACACACCACCGCCCTCCTACAATTCTGCATCGAGGCTCTGAAAGAAACGGACAGCGCCGCATTTTTACAAGTAAACCCATTTTCTCTTTCTTTTTCAACCACCTTATTAATGATGGTGATTCAATATCAACGGGAATATTGAATCTTTAAGTTTATTACTGTAAAACGACGACCTCAGAAACAAGTTTTTCAATTATAAACTAATCAAATTACACCCAACAGATTACGTACCGATTAGTTAATAAGTAAACCTTACATGTTTCTTAATTAATTTTAGTACACTATAATATATTGCATACATAAAAAAGTTATTATTGTTAGTTAATCATTATTACCAAAACTATAAAATTACAAAAAAAATAATGAAAGGAAATAATCATGTAACTTTTAATATATTATTAATATTTTTTTTTCTATTTATCACAATCTATATTAATAGAAATATAGAACATTTATATTATATAAATTATTATACGATTAATAGATATATGAACAAACATGTGTAATTCTGATCTTGGGTTGCGTGGACTATTAAAGTTTAATTTTAAAGATCGCAATTCGTTACGTTATATTTTGTTTTCAGGTGGGCAGCATGTTGATAGGTCGTGTGGCAAATACGGATCATTCGTGGCACAAGGAGTGGACGGCCCCAAGGGTCTCGCCCCACTTTGACCTCACCCTCGACGACAAGTCTGTGCACAGGGCCATAGATCAGCTGAACTTTATACAGATGAAACGTGAGTTGCATCAATTAAACTATTCCTTTCCTCTCGCTCCGCATCAGACAACAACAACTAAAACTGGAACAAACGTAAAGAAAAGGCGCATGCATAATGAAATTCATGTTCAGCATTTTGCGCGCTAGCATTTAATTAAAGAGCACCGAAAAAAAATGTAATGTAGGGGAATGCGCGAAAGATGAATATACTTACTATTCTATTTGAATTGTAATTGCACGAACTCGTGTTTTTATCCTTTAGTTCATAAAGGTTTTAAATAATTAACGAAACACATTCTTCAACCCGAGACTGGTTTAAAATGATCCAATTTTTTTTTTGTAATTTCCGTCCTTTAGCTTACAAAGATGGCGAAGAACGGGTCCCTGCAGGTAACAGACAAAACCAATAAAAAAAAATATATTATATCGCATGAGTTGAGGAGAGCAGGGTTTGCGTTTTATAATTTCGTAATGTTGTTGAATTTTACTTTTATATTTATTTAAATATAATTTCCTTTTTCCGTTTCGTTCGTTACTTCGTTGTTTTTTTTTTGTATGAATTGTAACTTTCTGTCGTATTTCCATTTATTAAGAGCGTTCTGTAATTTGTAGCTCCGGCAGCTCCGACAATAATTCCAGAAGAATGCAGCGCCGAGAATAATTCTGTGACGGTGGCCTGGCAGCCACCCCCGCAGAGTCACGTCGAAGGATACGTTTTGGAATTGGACGACGGCAACGGAGGCGACTTCAGGGTGAGTTTCCATTTAGATTCTGTTCGTCGGTAGGGGGTTTGTAGGAGGAGGATACAAAGGAGGAGGTTTATCCTTGTTCGAATCAGGTCCTTCCTTTTTTTTCTCCGGACGACCATCGAGGGGACACTGGTATTGAGAGACAACACGTGCAATTGCTCGAATCGATCAATTACCGGCTCCCTCGAAAATTGGCAATGCAGTTGTGATAAAATTGGTGCATCGGGGGATGGGACCGACCCGAGTGATTAATGGCCTTTTGGTGCCGCAATTGCCACATGACTCACACCCCAGGCCCCTGGACTAATATCAAATACTGACTCCTATATTGGCCCTTGATATACCCATTCGAAAGTTATATACCTACAACTTTTACATCCATCCCAATCATTCATCTCGACTCAATCATATTGCAACACGAAATGCTCATCTGTAAATTACTTATTTTGTCCAAAATCTGATTATGTCTCCATAAATACAATGTTTTATACTTTCAATAGTTATTATATTCTTCGGAATTATTTACAATACTTCTTCTTGTTTAACATGTACTTGTACCAGTTTCTAAATACACGAAACTCGCGTCTTTATATTAGGAGAAACTTCTATCAATACCTGATTATCTCTTAGAATACATTCCTAAATACGAAACTTTAATTTTTTTGTTGAAAGTGATAATTTCAACACAGTAATTAAATGTATATAATATTAACTTTTAAAATATCAATAACATTTATGTGTAGTTTATTTTTTGTTCTTCGGAAATTCGCCAATCAGACGACTAGTGATACGCAAGAGAATTTTGGTAGTTCACGAAGTAATTTGAATATATTTGCAATTTTAATTTTCTAATATTCTGATTCTACTTTTTTGCATGAAATTTTGAGTTTAGTCCGCGGGATGCAATATTTTGAATTTAGTAGTCCGCGGGACTATTTTGAGTTTAATGGTCCATGAGGTCAACAAGTTAGACGACCGCTAATCTGGTACATAGTTTCTCAACCTACGAGTTGCGACACAATAATGGATCGCGTTATTTTTTTTTTATGAATCCTAATATGACAGTTACTATCTTGTATATTGTAGTCAAAACTACTACCTTATTTTTCATTTGAATTATATTCATTTGTTCTACTTATTTGATTATTTTTTAACAGAAATGTGATGCAGTATACTATACAAACTTATTATTATCGTTCTTTTATTGTCCCATATGATGCATCAAAAATAGTGATCAAAAGATTTAAATGGTACAATCAGATTCTGAATGAAATTGGGCTCTCCTTTGATATGTAAGAGGGTATACGAACTCTATGAGGGACGCGTATTTGTACGGGAAGAAGAAGTGTTTTGTTTCATGGTCATGCATAATCGAGGGAAGGGAAGTGGAACCCGCACCCCGCACGTTATTCAAAACGAGACTACCCTACCTCTTTTCATAAATATAATAATCATGACAGCCATTAGTCCCTCGTCTGGCTCCTTCCATTCTAATTCACGTTTTTATACTCTTAATTATTCAAACCGCTATTATTCGGAAAACACCCCTTCACAACAATACAAATCTCGGAACGATAAAATTTGTGAAAATTTCATAATTTCATAATTTTCTCAAAAATTCTAAATTTTGCTTTTTTGTAGGAGGTATACTGCGGCATCGAAACTATCTGCACCGTGGACGGATTACATTTTCATTGCATGTACAACGCGAGGGTGAAAGCTTTCAACAGCACCGGCGAAGGAGAATACAGCGAATTGATAGGTTTGCAAACCGCAGAAGGTGAGATGAAGATTCTATATTGTGATCGACACTTTCTAATAATATTGTGTTCCCTTTTTGTTGCATTGATTTGCGTGTAGTTGCTTGGTTCTCGTTCGATCCAGTTCTCTCAGGCCCAGGGCTTCATTATTCGGAGGACAGTTTAACGGTGACTGGGGAAGGTTGGGAACACCGGGTGGCACTTGGTAGTGTCGGATTTAGCAGAGGCGTCCACTACTGGGAATTCAGCATTGACAAATTCGATGCGGATACAGATCCGGCCTTTGGCATCGCCAGGATCGATGTAGCCAGAGATAAAATGCTCGGTAGGCTCGACGATGCATGTTAAATCGATACGACGAATTCATATCCCTTTTTCTGTTTAGGTAAAGACGACAAGGGCTGGGCTATGTACATAGACAGGCAACGGTCTTGGTTCCAACATGCCGGAGGGCACGAGGAACGGGTGGATGGCGGCATCAGTCCCGGCAGCACGGTCGGAGTACTCCTAGATTTGGATAGACACACTTTAGCTTTTTACGTGAACGAGGAGCCCCAGGGCTCCGTCGCTTTCAGAGACCTGTACGGAGTGTTCTATCCTGCAATAAGTATCAATCGCGGCGTCAGCGTGAGCCTCCACACAGCAATAGATCCACCATCCGATGTAGAAGAGACATAAATTCTAAACTTATATAGATATATACATATGAACAATTTTATTTCCTAGATAGTTCTTTCATTTAAATGTTTAACATATCTTAACTATGACGTCCTTAAATGCAAACAAAATTATTTCTTCCCACATATATAAATATTTCCTCCAAACAACAAGACAATACTTTCGTTCTCCGTGTCACACAATATAATAATAACAATATACACGCGATTTAATCATACACCAATTACTTATTATTCGGATTAATAATTTTATAATCATAAAAGACTGAATGCACAAACGTTTCGATTTCGTTCTTTTTTCGAAATACATATAAACTAAGTGAATGTGAACTGAAAAGTATATGTCCATGAATTGCTAACAACGGATTTAGCAAAGCTAGATTTAAGAATAGTTTACAATTTATTATTTTGATTGTTGTTTTTTTATTTAATTTTAAATGCTTCATGTATTTTCGTGTCTGTTCCACATATTTTCTAGTCCTAAAAAGAAAGCGAATTGAAAATTTAGCTCAATATAAATTTATTATAAGGAAAACGAATTTATGAATGCTCCAATAATAATTATGGGACCTATAATGTACACACTCAATATTAAATCATGTGAACAAATCCTGCCTAATTTTCCTTTGCCATTTTTATTTTATATTTTATTTGTTTATTGTAAACAATTTGTTTAGAACAACTGCGTATTTATTATAATATTTGTTATATATTTAAAATATATATATATATATAATAGATTTAAGGCAATTAGTATAATTTATTTTATTGTGTTATTTTCCATTTATTATATCTTACTATTGATATACATATATTACACAAATATTAATGTAATGTCACATGTAAATAAAATTTGTATAAATAAATTCCAATACATTTAATTTAGTGACCTTAAATTTGATTCAAAATACAATTCATATTAAAAAAGGTTTTTAATTTCGGTATTAACTATTATTTAACGTGTTTTCATATTTGTAAATAAAGATTTAGTATAATGAAATGCGTCTTTTCTTCAAAATATTTGTTCTTATTTTATGGCTTATTAATGTTAAATTAAAAATAACATTAAGTTATGAAAAGCTAAGAAGAATTTTCGTTACAAAATTAAAAAACTAGCAAAATTATGGGACTTTTAACTAGAAAATGTGTTATCTTTCCTGCAATAAAATTCTTAAATCGTGTATATTAATACTGGAAGTTTAAGAACATGGCCAACATATACCATTAAATATAACGATCGCTTCCATATAAAATATATACATATACAGTGGAACCTCGCTTAACGAGTTTAATCCGTTCCAAACTTTCCGGATTTTTCCTCATAATATGTGTACACAAGTTTTAAATATGATGTAGTAAGCGCGCAATCCCGGATTTCTCTTCTCATTGTCACTCGTTATGTGAAAAGTCGCTCGTTAAGCGAGTAATTTTTCTTAGAATTCATTTTGCTCGCTAAACAAAATGCTCGTTATGCGAGGTACTCTTTAAGCGAGGTTCCACTATATCTTGATTCACAAATACAATTCAAATTTAAATGAAAGCAAGGAACTGGTTGCCATCTCTTGACGATGTTCTAAAACGTAAATATTAAAATTAGTATTGAATATTATTATTTTTCTCTTTAATTATTGCGAATTATTACATTTAAATATTTGAATCTATCTAAATGTAAGCATTTATGCTAAGATAATACAAATTGAATTTACTTATAGTAGTTCAAATGCACTTGACATAAGTGAAGGGAAGTGAAGCATGTTTCAATTGGACATAAGCAGATCAAAGTATACGGAGTAAATAGGGGTGGCGTAATAATTGATTTATATTAATTAACTTACGAAAAGTACGTACAAGATGATTACTAAAGAGAGCTTAGGAGATTTACAAGAGAAGTTTGAAAAAGTGAAGAAATTGGTGGAGGAAGATGCAAGATTTGATCCAGAAACACAACCCTACTTCTCAAAATACTCTGCAAGGCAAAATCTGATATCAATGAATGCTTTAATTGAGAATCTCAAAGAGAAACAAGGACCAGACAGTCCTGATTATCCAAAATTAATAGGTAATTGTATTCATATCTTATTAAAACAGATTTGTATCAATATAACCATTTTTAGGGATGCACGGGACAGTCAAATTAAATTTGGGCATGATTGCAGTTGACACTGAAGAACTGACAATTGGTGAAAAGCATTTTCAAGAGTGTGCTAAAATTATTGAAGGTTTTGAAGACAAACTTGAAGTAGCTTCTGTTAATTTGCATATGTTGAATCAATTGGGAACAGTCTGGGCTAGATGGGATTACGAAAAAGGACAGGAGCATTTGGAAAAGGCTGATTCTTTTTATAAGCAAATTAAAGAATCTGGCCTTGTACCAATTGATTGCAATGATATTTTCAATGTAAATTATGAGTTGAATGAAGAAGATGCCATGAAGAAATTTGAAAAGCTATATACACTTACATTGTATTATTTAGCACAAGTTTACAGTCTAAAGGATCCTGTGAAAAGCGCCATATTCTGTCATAAAACGTTGCAAAGGCAACTGGAGAGTAATGACTATGAGGAAATTGATTGGATTTTGAATACAGCTACATTGTCTCAGTTTTTGATGGAAAAGAATGGATTTAAACAGGCTAGACATCACTTGAGCGCTAGTTGGTATATGCTGGACGAGCATAAGAAAAAACTAGATGCGATTGTTGAACGAGACGATGAATATTTCGCGAAATTGGAAACGTACCAGCATCGTTTTGCAGATGTTGCAAGATGTTGGGGTAAATATGGTTTAGTACTCTTGGTTAACTCAAGAGATAGATTGGTGAACACTTCTGATATTGATGCAACAGCAAGTATTTGCACTGATATTTCCAAACTCAATATAACTGAAGAACTAACTGAGTGGGACTTTCCCACATTAGAATTAAGCAAATATGAGGAGGAAGTGACTGATCAATTCGTGCTAACTATAGAAGACGCCAAAAAGGTTTTCTTGAACGCTCAAAAGTGGCTAAACAGAGCACAGGAATACTACAGCTTAGAATCGTTAGCTTCTGATTATATTGAGATCGCGCAAGATTACAGTAAACTGTATGATGCGTTAGTATTTTACGAAGAAAATCCTGATAATAGATCGAAATTGATTAAGCGGGCCATCGATGTTTTGGAGCAGGTGCTGTCTGAGGTGAATCCAACGTATTACATGCAGTACTGCAGACCGATCTGGTTCCGACTAGGCATGTTATATTCTGATTTAATTGATATCAAGTTGGATAGAATCAAAGAAAGCACAGCTCGACCAAATCCACATGCATTGAAGAAAATCAACGCCTTGGTCGATAAAAGCTTGAAACACTTTAACTCTTTCGTTGATAGCTTTAAAAATTCTTCTGGGGAGCTACCTAAGAAAATGACTGAAGACATGGAGAAACCATTTCTACAGGCATATTTCCATTTGGCCGTTTTACAAACGAGACATATAACTTTGGATAAGAATGTTCAATTGAAGAATACCGAAGAGAGTATGAAATTCTATAAAATGTTTGTTGATTACTGTAACGCGAACGAAAGCGCTGTAGGTTGCGTTAAAGAGGAGCTGTCCGTAGCCAAAGAGATGGTTACGTTATTACCATTAAAGATTGCAAAGTTACGAAATGAATTGCCTTTACCAAGATAGTTTTGTTGAGCAATTGTATATGATATATATTGTTTGGTTGTTTTTTTATATATTATTTGTATATTTATAATAGTTTTAATATGATATTGTAGGATGTGCTATGATCATTATAATGATTATGGATAATAATAATACGATAATAAAAATTTTAAATTGAATATTCTGGTTAGTTTTATTTCCGTTGGGTTGGATATGCTTTAAGAGGATGCGGCTTGTGGTGGTATGTCTGATGCATACTGGGTAAGTGGTTTTGGAATCGCATGACGCCGCTCATTTCATTCCTATATTTAGTGTAAGCAAGTTGAGCAGAGGAAAACCCGCGCAACGTACGTACAAGTGCAAGCGAATGGTGAATTTCGAAAAAGGATTATAGCAAGTAAAATTTGATAACTCGAGAGAGGACGACGTGTCGGTTACGTAAATACTTATTTTATTATTGTCGTGCGAAGAGATGTACAAAGTGGCTGTAAGCGAGACGCTCTGTGATTATTTAACGAGGTAAGGATTTTTGCTTTATGCCTATGTATGTATGTGTACGAGAGTGGAGCCATTTTAGATTTTATTTTTTCCCCCATTTCGAACCTTAATCCGCTTGCATCCGATGCATTTGCCCCTGAATGCATTTCATTTGCAGCTGTAATTGCATACGATCCAATCGAGATTAAATTTACTTCGATATTTTTACTCCAATTTACTTTTTCCGTAAAATTTTTGCCAATCATTGCGGACTGTCTTCTTTTTTTTTTTTCGTTCATTTTACAATCGCAATACCATTTGAACGGAGTATATAGTGGGGGAAGAAGACGGAAACCATTCTTTCTTCTTCCTTTTAGTGAATTCTAAAATAATTACTTTATTTTTAGTCACGAAAAGTAATACAACCATCTCAGTAGGTACATCATTCGTTACACTTTCTTTTCTATAACCAATAAAAATTAACCTTGAAAAAGCTTAGGGACCGTCAATTGATGCTTTCACGCTTAAAAACTTTCTCTTTGGATAGTAGTAATGTGGATTGTGCCAAATCACACATTTTTCTTGGCTGAAATAATCAATAGACTTTTGACTGAACATCCTACATGTCAGAAATAACATAATCACACTTGCATAAAAATAGACTCCACTCAAAGCTTCAATTTTGATCTGGAGGGGACAATTTATGCTAGATTATCAATTGTGATCTGTAACAGGTTATTATAACATATAAAACACCTTAAACTAATCACAGACATGTGCTCTTTCATTAATTTCATATTTTTCTAAATTTTCATTTATTTTGCATAAAGTATATATGCATAAAATATATATATATACACTTTATTACTAGAAACTAGTACAGTTATGAATTAAGTAATTCCAGTTAAATGTGCATAAAAGATATTTAAACTTTACATCTTTGTCTAAATAAAGAAATCTGTACATTTTTCTTTGTGTTTCAGGTGTCTGTTAGAGACGTGAGTTGCTCCAGTGCTGGATAAACAAACATACATTAACTTTCTTTGGAAGAAATAATATCAACTGATTATTTCTAAAGTGAAGTTTATTTTTAAGTGGTGAGAAGTGATTCAATGAGGAAAGGTGTTTGTTTCCAAGCACACTAAAGACTAGAAAAAAAAAGAGCAAAAATAATAGACAATTATCTTTTTTTTTCGTTTTTTTCTTTCCTATAAAACAAAAAAAAGTGAGTGATCATAGTGTGAGACTATATAGATATATATTTTTATTGTGTCTTCTGCACACATCCAAACACGTATAAACATTTTCAAGAGAAGTTTTCTTTTGTAATACACAAGCAAAATGATGACTGACACGTTGAACTCGAATAACCTTGTGTTATCATCGATGCCAAACAAAGGGTAAGTTGATAAACACACTAATCATCATTCATTGCATGTCTGTAGACTCAAGTCAAGCTTTGATGTTGGCATTGAGGGGAACATAGTATGCTATAATGAATTGTGTGTGTGTCACTATTAAAATGCTTCAATCTATGTTAGTATTTAGTTCACTATCACAAACAATCAATTAATTGTCTGACTAGTATAAAATACTTGAATTATATAAACAAATGTAATTATTGCTTTTGCAATTATCTACAAGTGCAGACCAAGAGTCAAACCACATTTTACAGAGATAAGATAAGGAGAATGTTTATTATATGTCTATATATTATAAACATTTTCTGTTTCAAGTACTCTATATTTGTTTATATCTATGTTAAAATAAATATTTATCCTTGATTCATTTTACAGAGACATTGAGAAAATGGATGATATTGGCTGGAAAGCGAAGCTCAAAATTCCACCAAAGGACAAAAGGGTTAAGACTACAGTATGTATATGCAATGTTAAAACTGTAAAGTGCTGAATTTCATTATGATTTGCTTATATAGGATGTCACTGACACAAGGGGCAACGAATTTGAAGAGTTCTGCCTGAAACGTGAACTTCTGATGGGAATATTCGAGAAAGGTTGGGAGAAACCATCTCCTATACAAGAGGCCTCCATTCCCATTGCCCTATCTGGTAAAGACGTCTTGGCCCGAGCTAAGAATGGAACAGGTACGCATCGTTTTATTGTTTCTTAATTTTTCTTACTTTCTCATGATTGTAACAAATTCCTGACAATATTTTAGATAATGCAATTAATGAGTTATGCAAATCACTATTACGTGTGTACGGAAATATAAATATCATTTTAGTCAAATTTGAGGATTCTTTAAATTTTTCAATATTTAATATCAGTTACGAATATCATTCCTCGTCAAATATACTATTTAGCTTCCATTATAAATATTACTGGGGGGTAAATTTGAGTTAAATACTTGTCAGGAATTGAGTTTTTATCATCGTTTCACAATCCTATGAGTACCATGATGATTTTTTGGATTCCCCTTCATTTATTTATAAATGATAATATCGTGTCTCTGAGAATGAATTTATACAGATAAATGCATTTGTCGTTTACGATTGTTCAGAAATTAACCCGATGCATATTTGTGTGATTTCAGGAAAAACTGGAGCATACTGCATTCCTGTGCTAGAACAGATAGATCCCAAGAAAGACTGCATCCAGGCGCTGATAATAGTGCCTACGAGAGAACTCGCGCTGCAAACATCGCAAATTTGCATTGAACTCGCCAAACATATGAACATTCGCGTGATGGTGACGACGGGCGGCACCAATCTTCGCGATGACATTATGCGTATCTACCAAAAAGTGCAAGTAATTATTGCGACACCTGGACGTATTTTGGATTTAATGGACAAGCAGGTCGCGAAAATGGACCAGTGTCGTATTCTGGTGCTTGATGAGGCGGACAAGCTTCTCAGTTCTGACTTTAAGGGAATGCTCGACCATGTGATATCTCGTTTACCACGCGAACGACAAATTCTTTTGTTCTCGGCGACATTCCCTCTCACGGTAAAGCAGTTCATGGAGAAACACTTGCGCGACCCGTATGAAATCAATCTGATGGAAGAGCTTACATTGAAAGGTGTTACTCAATATTATGCGTTCGTTCAAGAGCGCCAAAAAGTCCATTGTTTGAATACGCTCTTTAGCAAGCTAAACATCAACCAGAGCATAATATTCTGCAACAGTACTCAGCGTGTCGAATTGCTGGCTAAAAAGATTACTGAACTAGGGTACTGTTGTTACTATATCCATGCTAAAATGGCGCAGGCGCATCGTAATCGCGTCTTCCATGACTTCAGGGCAGGACTATGCAGGAATCTCGTCTGCTCCGATTTGTTCACTAGAGGTAAATATTAATGAGTTTGAATTTTCAAAACAAATTTATAATCTCTTTTTTCTTCTTAGGTATTGATGTGCAGGCTGTGAATGTCGTTATTAATTTTGATTTTCCGAAGATGGCTGAAACATATTTGCATCGTATCGGCCGTTCGGGTAGGTTCGGTCATTTGGGTATCGCCATCAATCTAATCACATACGAGGATAGGTTCGCTCTTCATCGCATCGAACAAGAGCTCGGTACAGAAATTAAGCCTATACCGAAGGTGATTGATCCGTCCCTGTATGTACCTAGCATGGACGATGATCGTCTCCAAGAAGAGATCAGCAAATAAATCAACCCGTAACCCAACAATTCGGTTATTTTCGTTCAGTTATCTGTCGGTCAAATGTATATATTAAAAAAAGAAGAAAAGCAACTAAACAGTGAAAATTATCAGACGATTATGCAAAGTGGGGAAGAACGAACAATACTAAACAAACAAAAAAAAACGGACAAGCAGTGCGCATAACATTTATTTTTGATTCCGTTCTCTTTTTGGAGGATGCGATATAAAAAAAAAGTGCAGTATTAAATGATTGAAATAACGAAACAACACGGGGGCTCTTGTTTTGAGTGCCCCATGAAAAAAAAATCAAAAGCGCAATACACACATACACACACACACCGAGACACCCCTCGACCCTCCCAAACTATATATTTATATAATATATATTCGCGTGAAACATTATTTTCTTCTGTTTATCATTATATTTTCGGATTTTGTATATAGTCAGGTGGAATTATGTACATGAATTGTCTTTTCGTTTGAATTAATTATGATGATAAATTTCAGTTTTCGGTTGGTTAGATGTGGAAAAAAGCGAAATCTTTTCGGCACATATACTGTGGAGCGAAAAAAACAAAATAATTTTTGGTCTTGTATCGGGTTATGTAATTTATTGATTAATTTCTTATGTTTTCATTTAATCTTTTTTCGATTTTTTTTCTAGTACTAGAATTAACGTATTTCGAGCGGTGCAAATGCGAAATTTCTGTGATTATCGTCGATTCGGTCAACAATAACACATTTTAACGTATACATTATCGTTTTTTAATCGTATTTTTAATGAATTGAAATGTACAATTAAAAAATATCCCACTAATTACTTTTATTTATGAAATACAATTCATGCAATAGTACAAATCGATTTCACCGAAGTTTCGTGTCTTGCGCCACGGAAATAACAATATTTAAGCAGTTTTATCGCATTGGAAAAAAAGAAAGCAAATTGTTAACACCCAGAATCTCCAGCAATGCGTTTAACATGGTCGTCGTTTGAACTATCGACGACGTTTGTTAATTTATAAAGCTGCTTAAATATTCGAGCTATTTCAAATACGTTATATGTGCTCTTGGGATCTCTTAAAATTATGAATTACTACAGTAACAAACACTTTACATTATAAACATGATACATATTTTGAACTATGATTTAATTTTAAGTGGAATTGTGAAACGCGACAAAAAAAATTGTTAGAACTAACGAACAGTTAAGTGATTGATTGTGTGCTACGGAAGAATGGAATGCGGAAGTGAATATTATTTTTTTTGTTTATGTTTAAGAGATGGAGATTCTAATGTACGGGTTCTTTTGGGGTTTTCGAATGAGCCTCCCCCGAAGGAACCACACTTAAGTTCGAATGCGAACGAATATTTAAAACAAAATTGGCTCGTTAACTCGGAAACCTGGTGTTTCCGGGGGGAACAACCAGATTAAAGTTGCATCGCGTTCATTTCTAAATATTCTTTTTCGGGGACATTAAAAAAAATCAACTGACTTTTTACAATTACTTCAGCAACTGATTCTGGTTGTTCTTTTATTCATTGCAATTGTGATAAAAATATTTTATTTGGAAAGAACAACCCTTTTCCATCCAGAAATTTTAAGAATTGAAATTGCTTTTATTCAATATCTTTTATTGATTAATGAAACATCAGGGGGGGAAACGTGAAACATATGTATTTATACATTATTATTTGTTTTTTTTCTTCAAAATACCAAAACTTTATTTTTTTTCTTCACTAATATCAAAATCAATTTTGTACAACAGTTTATATTATACACATACACACACATACGCCTTTTTTTAAAATATGTTATATTTTGTTTTTTTTCTTTTAAACAGGATTATAATTTCGGCTGATTCAAACTATTTTCTATTTGGTTTTATTTTTTCATTTCTCTTACATTTTTTTAATTTGCAATATTCGAGGTTTTTTTTTAAATTTGGAAATAAATACAGAACAACACCTTATACCTATATATTTTATTTCTTATGTGACCTGCCTTTTCTAGCTTCTAGGATCCAATAATGTTAAAAACAGGATTTGTCGGTTTTGGAAACCGTTTTTTTAAAGGAAATTTAAGTAAAAAATGGTTTTTGAGTCTAAACTTATAATATAAAAATGAGTTATTTTAATTATTTGACATATGAATTGAAAAATCTGAAATTAATCATTAAGTTTTTCTACAAATATCAAGATTGTATCCAAATTGTTAAATAGATCACTGCGATGATGAAGAAAAGCGGTAAAGAAGAAAAACAAGCCATAGGTTGCTTTGAAAAAATGATAAATATCTTTAAGAAACTGAAGATGTGACTGTCCTGTCACAAGACACTAAAAAGGGAGCTTCTAGTAGTTTTTATTATCTAATGCTTTAAAGACGATTAAACCCAGCTTGGAGTTTCTTTCTAGTTCTGAAAATGTTGCATCCGCATCTGTAGACATTCTTTTTAATTTTTTTAATATTAAATAACAACCAAATGAGTTGTAAAAATCGTTTTTCTCTATTTTTTTTTGTGAAAATTCGAAAACTGGTTTTTGTATAAGCCCTTAAAAATGACAATCCAAATATTTGTTTTGAAATGAGCATTTCACTTTGATGAATTTAATTTTGCATTATAACTTTATACCAGGATTAATTATAATAAATCAATAAGTAGGAATTTCAAGTCATTCCCGCTTTATGCTTTATACAATTTTGAATGAAATAACTAAACAAGTGTTTGGACGTAAATTATCTTGAAAACTATCCAGAAAAAAAACTGATGTGAGATATTAATAAATTATAACAAATAGAAAAGTTCGAGTATATTAATTTTGAGTGCTTTTTTTGAATTTTCATTTTTTCTGACAATTTAACTAATTGTTATAGATTGATTAGAATAATTTTCCCATCATAAAAATAATGTATGGACCAAAACATAATATTCAACTATAAATGTATGTTTGTATCACGATAACATACATAATTTCGTTAATAAATTAGGAAAAAAAACATATTTGTTATTTTTCTTTGAGTTTTCATTTTAAAAATATGGATTTGTAATTGAAGGAATTGCACGTAATTTAAGTGTTCATGTTTTCAAATGTCATCCCAATGATTAATTATTTTACTTTGGATCTGAAAGATAAGATTACATTATCATAGTTCTTTTATTCATTGGAATGAAGAATTACGACATAATACAATAATGTATATTTGTGCCATGTGGAATTACGGTATTTTTATTAATGGACTCGTTTGAACTATTTAGGAAAAAATAAACTACGAATATCCGCCATTTTTTTTATTTGAACTACTGTGGAAGTTAACCATAACATAACCAACAATTGATTCAGTATCAATTTTCACGTGGATGTCAACATGCGGCCGAAGGAACATATAAAGTTAGTTATTATTTTATAGTATTTAAACAACTTATTCAACAACTGTGGTTTTTAGATTACAAGACTCTGATTATGAGCCTACAGACTCTGATGATGATTTATCAGAGAATGACTTAAAGCTGTTAAAGAAAGCAAGAAATAAAGGACCCAAATATTCAGACTCTGAAGTAAGTTCATACTTTTATGTTATGAGTTAAATTTTAAATTAATTAATAAATTTGTAGGAAGAAATCTATGGGGTACGTTCAGAATCTGAAGATGAAGAGGATGTGCAAAGTGAAATTGCTCTTAGTGATGTCGAAGGACAGGAGGATGATGGTTTACCAAATGCAAAAGCATGGGGTAAAAAGAAGAGTCATTACTATGCTACTGACTATGTAGATCAAGATTATGGTGGCTTCCAAGGCCAGGATGCAGAAGATGCAGAGAAGGAAGAGGAAGAAACAAGAAATTTACAAGCTGAATTAGTGAAGCAGCTAGATGATGATGACTTCTCTTTAGGATTTGAGGCTAAAGAGCAACCTAAAGTTGAAAAAGAAGTGGTGAAGGAAGTAGTTAAAACTGATATTACTACTTTAAGTAAGAGACAAAGATTAGAACTCTTGCAGAAAGAATCACCTGAATTTTTTGGATTAGTAGAAGATTATGAAAGTAAGTTATTCATGTAATTTCTTGTGTGCAGTTTTATTAATAATATTTGTTACAGGTAAAATGGAATTGATTAAAGATATAATTTATCCAGTAATCAAACTCATAAAACAGAATAAAATTGAAGATTGTCGTGCAAAGGATTTTGTCATGACGTATTACGAATTAATTTTAAATTACTTTAACAACATTTACATGTATATGCTTTTAAAATCGAATCGCGTGAACGTCCAAAAGCATCCAATCATAAAGAGGTTGTATCAATTTCGCGAACTGTTAAATAAAATGGAACCCGTTTTTGATGAAGTAATTAAGCCTCAACTGGAACTGCTTGTTGCTAAAGTAAATGATGACGACGAGGGATTACAAGTGAAATCAAAGAAGAAGAAAACTTTGAAATTATTGTCCAAATTGAGTAAGGAGAAGAAGGAAGTTGAAAATAAGAAAAAGAAGAAGTTGGATGAAGAGGATATTGACGAGGAAGTAGTTCAACCCAAGAAGAAACTTAAAGAAAGTGATGAAGCTATGTTGGAGGATTCTGATGACGAGGATGAGGAGGACGAGGATGGAGAAAAGGAAGAAGGGGAGGAAGAAGAACAAGCTGTAACTCAGGAAGGTGACACGAGACGTCAAATTACTTATCAAATGTTCAAGAACAAGGGCTTGATGCCAGTCAGAAAGAAGGAGCAAAGAAATCCAAGGGTTAAGCATAGAAATAAGTACAGGAAAGCTAAAATTCGCAGGAAGGGTGCTGTAAGTATCAAGTTAAACATATTGAAGAGAACGAATTTTATATTTTGTTTAATTTCTACTAGGTGCGGGAAGTGCGAACGGAAATGTCCAGATATGGTGGTGAAATATCAGGAATTAAAGCATCTGTTACAAAGAGTATCAAGATTAAATAATTATATTTTTATTATATTTCAAATAAATTGTTTAAATATCATTTTTTTTGTTTAATTACCACATTCCTTTAATTTTGCCAAAATCATTACAATTGCACCTTTAATAACTGGGGGGAGGGATTTGGTGTGTTCTATTTTAAGTATTTTTGTATGAAACATGGTAAATGGCGAAAGGTGAGTCGTATAATTTGAATTTAAATTTTAAATTATTGTCATTTTATTTGGCAAAAGTCAAATAAACATTTGAATTTTTGACATAAACAAGTAGTTTGTTGATAACTTCAAGTGGGTTTTAGTTTTGGCGCGCTTTCGTTTGAAAATTATCTAGATGGGTAGAGTTCTGTGGGCGGAGTCATTTCACCTTTGAGGGTCCAATAGGTCAAAAGCGACAAATTTTTTACACATAAATTCTGCGGCTTTTATCACGCAGACACTTTCATTCCTCATTACAAATTTGTTTCTCTACTGCAAAAGGTAAGCAAAAAGCTTTGATACATTATAATTAATTGGAATTGCAATTAAAAATGGATTATATTAGTAAATCTAGATAGCTTTTGTAAAATGCAATACATTAGTAAATGTATTTTGTTTAATGCACGTAAACCGGATTGTTGATTTTTTTTAAGTGTAAAGGGATCATTATTATTAGTAATCATTATTCTCAACAAAATTAATATTTGTTTAATAAATGTTATTAATGATTAAATCTAATTGGAATTATATTGTAAACATGATTAATTTATTTGCTAATCATTATGTAATTAATCAATAGTAATCACATTATCTAGATAAGCTTTTAATAATTTGAAAAAGCAGAAATGGTTGTCTAATATTATATAAAGCTATAGTTTTTTAAAATTATTACACTATTTGTTTCAGTGTTGAAATTAATTGCTAGCAAGATGTCGCGTAAATTCATCGTTGGTGGAAACTGGAAGATGAACGGCAGCAAGAGCCAAATTGGAGAGATCATTGAATTCTTGAAAAAGGGACCATTGAACGCAGAAACCGAAGTCGTTGTCGGTGTTCCTGCCATCTACCTGGAACATGCCAGAAGCAACTTGCCTGAAACTATTAAAGTCGCCGCCCAAAACTGCTACAAGGTTCCAAAGGGCGCGTTTACAGGTACGCAATACATTCACTAGCCTAGTCATATTTATTGATAAAATCTACATATTATTAAAGCTATAATTTAAGTTGTATTACTACATTAAAAAAAATTAAATGGCGCTTCATCGTCATTATAACATATTTTTGAAATTTAAATTTGAATCTGTTCAAATTTAAATTGGTTCATCTGGTTGCAACGATTTGTTATCGTACGCTTCTTTTGGTTTGTTGTGCAAATTCTGTAGCTCTTTCTGGCTCAAATGGTCGACAATACCAGCGCCAAATGAATCACCTAATACGTTGATGGCAGTCCTGAAACGATCCCTGAAAAGACGTTGCATTACGTATAGTAATTTTAAATATTACGTGTATTCTATACTCACAGCAACCAATCCACAGCCAAAATTAAAGTCACTTCTTTAGCGGTCAATCCAACTGTATCCAAAACCATCACCATAGTTACTAATCCAGCTTGGGGGATTCCCGCTGCGCCTATGCTGGCTGCAGTAGCTGTTATACTAATTGCTACAACTTGTCCCACGCTTAAACTTACTTTCTTAACTTGAGCAATGAAAATAGCCGCCACAGCTTCATAGAGTGCGGTTCCGTCCATGTTAATCGTGGCACCAATAGGAAGTACAAATCGCGAAACGATTTTATTTATTCCGTTGTTGTTCTCTAAACACTGTATAGTCACAGGCAGTGAAGCGGAGCTAAAATGCGAATATTTAATTTTAAATGAATCCTTCAAGTAATAATCATACCTAGAGGCAGTTCCGAAAGCGGTGGCTATGGCCTGACCCATATTGCTGATGTACTTCAACGGATTGCGTTTGGTGAACAGAAAGAATATCAAAGGAAGGAAAACAAAGCCGTGGATCAAAATTCCCACCAAAACTGTCACGAAATACATGCCCATTTGGCTCATGGTCTCTACAATGTCCTGCATTTCGAGTATTTTCGATGCAACCAAAAAAAATATTCCGACCTACAATCAATATTGTTGTTATTAGTGAATGTATTTCTTTAATGTTTTGTATGCTCACTGGCGAAAGCCAAATGACCCAAGTCGTTATTGTCATCATGGCAGACATAAGAGATTGAAAAAAGTTGGCCAATGGTCTTCCTTCCTCTCCAATCTTAGCGAGAGTTACACCGAAAATCACAGAGAAAACGACCAATCCGAGAATGTTCATTCCATCCACAGATTCACTTCCAACTTTCCACAGTTCAATTGGTAAATCTTCTAAAATGTTGAGAATGTTTTAGTTTTATTCTATTCATTTTATTGTAATTTGTATTTTACCTGGTGTAGATTTTGATCGAGTTAACAATGTCCGATGCTGTTTGGTGCATGCTTCAATCAAATTCGGAGGAAACATGCTCCTAAAAGATGATGTTTATTAAAGCGAATTAGATTGAATATTTATTTACAAAATTACCTAACTAAATCGAGTAATGTGTCTGCTGTGGTGCCTTTTTGCGTGAACGGATCTACCACGACTTCATCTTCGTTTTGGCTGGTAGTATCATCGCTGTTATCACCAGGTCGGATAGTTGTGACGAGGATGATTCCCAAAATCACAGCCAGAACGGTTGTAAGCATGTAATAAACGATTGCGCGTGCGGCAATTTTGCCTAAAACAACACGTTTAATCAATAATTAATGATTAATTATAAACATGAAGCTTACCTGATAATGAGAGATCTAAGTTAGCTATGGCTGATATGAGCGAGGATATAATGAGCGGTAGAATGAGAGCTTTGAGCATCCGCAGGAATATATCACCGACGAAGTTCACGTACATAATTTCCCTTTCGGTCCAGTCTTCTTTGACGCTTTTCAGGATGAAGCCCAAACCAGCACCGAGAACCACCCCAGCGACCGTAAGAAGTGTGAGAAGATTCGAACGCAAGCATCTTAAGCAGCCTCCGGAACGCTTCTCCTCAGATCCGTCTAAGCCTTCGATCGATGTCTGCATTTTGAGCTAAGACAGTATAGTGGACGGTGAAATTGTGCAATTCCTTTGGCTTTCTCCGCACAGATTTTTTCGCTGTTTTGAAATAAGCGCAATCGAGCTCTCGCTCACCACCGCTCGCACTGATCTTCGAGAGCCCCACTTTTACCTGTTTACCTCGGTCTACGTTTTTTTCACTCTTCTACGGTTGACTTTCAAAAAATCAATTTTACTTTTTACCGCCCATTCCCATTCAACCATTAAATATACTTTGAACCAATTAATCGACAAACTTTCATCTTTTATTGAACAATCCCTTATCTAAATTTATTGAATTAGACTGACACTGTCGATCATGCATTCTCTCCCTCTTCCTGCTGCGCGTTTTATATTTATTGGGCAATAATGGTTTGTTTTATTAAATGGTAGTGATAAACACGCAAATGGTTGATTAGATAAGTAGGATTGTGCAACTTGCTGCTGTGTGTTTTCTGTGCCACCAAGAATTCCTCGCCCCATTTGCACGATTCCAGAATGATTCATTCTCATTCGATTATAGACTCTAATGATATTAATATACGTGCAATTAAATTCAATTCGCATTTTTCTGAATTCAATTCCATTTAATTGAAGGCTCAATAATTAACGTGATCGACTTTAAATGATCACTAACGCAAGGGGTAATTAGTCCAGTTGGTACTGGAACAATCTGGATACATGCTCAAATAATTCCAATTGCAAATTGCTTTGTAAACCGCAAAAGTTTTAAATTTATGTTTAAATTGAAATGCTAAAATATATTCCTCGAAAACCGCAAAAAAAACTCTTAGAGTGCGGTTTTTTTGCAAATTTATTTGATAATTGGCCTTAATCAATTTGCATATGTATTGATGACGCAATCGACTATTCAAAACGTTTGTGGTAATAATTGTGTAATTCAATGGATAATTACAGTTTGATGACTTAAAGATAACGAAGTATTATCTAAGAAAAAAATCAATAAAGCAATAGACTTAAGTTGAATTGCTACAAGATTAAGATTAAAATTTTGATATCTGAATTGTAAGAAGTGATTGTAAAGAATAAAATAAATAATATTTGTGATGAGCGGACTTACGTCTTGTATGGGTGTCAAACGCCGTCTGCTGGCTCAATTAATAATTGCTATTTTTTAATGCGTTTGTTTTCAAGATTTAATTATTTTAAATTAAGAATTCTGATGGTGTTGCGCGCGTTTTCTGCTATGGACGTGCCGCGGATTATGATTGACTGATCATCATCCTAACATCCTCTCAGCGCTTCGCGCATTCCTCCCATCATGAGTTTTCGAAAGCCATCCATAATCTTATAATTGTCACCTCAGATAATCCTCATAATTTCATGCCATATTGTACACAATTTAGATTAGACTGTTTATGATTTCAGGTGAAATTTCGCCTGCGATGATCGCCGATGTTGGATGCGATTGGGTGATTCTTGGACATTCGGAGAGGCGCCATGTCTTCGGAGAATCCGACGAATTAATTGGAGATAAGGTTAAACATGCTCTGGAGAGTGGTCTGAATGTGATCGCCTGCATCGGTGAGAAGCTGGAGGAACGCGAGGCCGGAAAGACCGAAGAAGTCGTCTACAGGCAGACCAAAGCCGTCGCCGATAAAATCAACGATTGGTTAGTTTCAAATGATATTTTAGTATTTGCATTATTGATAGAAATCTCTGTTTTGATAGGTCCAAAGTTGTGTTAGCTTACGAGCCGGTTTGGGCTATTGGAACTGGAAAGACAGCCACCCCAGCTCAAGCTCAAGAGGTCCATCAATCTCTTCGCAAGTGGATTGCAGAGAATATCAGCGCCGATGTCGCTGCCAAAGTCAGGATTCAATACGGCGGTTCGGTAACTGCGTCCAACTGCAAGGAATTGGCTTCTCAAGGAGACATCGATGGTTTCCTCGTGGGCGGTGCTTCCTTGAAGCCGGAATTCGTCAACATCGTCAACGCCAAATGCTGAACGTGATTGATGAGCACGTTATCTTCATATCATTATACTATTGATTTTTACAAGAAATTTTATTTTTTTTATCCATTCCATTTTTACGATAAATTATGCAAATGTTTATTATCATTGTTAATTGCAATAATTAATTTTAAATTACCATTAATACGAAAAAATATTAAACTTTTTAAATTAAACATTTGTTTTATTTGTTATTCACAGAAGATCTAGTTGGTTCAATTGATTGTTCTAATCATTTAGCAGATGTTTCCACTGTTGAGAAATTGAGTAAACTTTGGAAAGACCGACACGCTTTTGTTATACAACCAAATTAATCTGTCATAGTGAATTGCAGAGAAGTTTGTTGAATTAAGTATATCGTTTTGATGACAAGAATATAAATGTAAGTAAAGTTATCTTTTTATACCTAAAGCGAAAATATGAGAAATATTTCGTAGTAAATCGGCAGTCAAGATTGAAATAAAAACCTATGCAGATAACAATTATTTAATGTTATAAAATTAGAAAAAAATTACCCAAATCACCGACACGACCACGTATTGATTGAAGTATCAAATTGGATCAATCATTGCTATTATCGGATTATTTGAATATCAAACACCGCCAATACAAATTGATTTGTAACCGTTCTTAATATTATAATTCATGAAGTAATTTAAGTTAGTAAATTTCCTCCCGAACGTCGCATTAACTCTTTGAGGGGCCTGAAATTCCTAAACAACTGAATCAGATAGTTACGTCAACTGACTTATCAAGATTCATCCTTTAACATACTAACTAAATTAAATGATAATTCCTCTTTCCTGGACATTTCCTAGAAAAGTATAATAATGTCCTACTAGGCATGACAACCTTAAATTACCAGCAAAAGTTTTGATTCTAAAAAATATGTTTTACTTTTAAACTAATTTCTTGTTTAAAAAATAATGGTTGATGTTTTTTTAAATTTTCTGATAGAACGAAAGTTTTCTTGAATTATATATGTTTTGAAGAGCATTCATCATATTTTGTGTGATGATAAATTATGATTCAATGATCACAAGAACAATACGTACTAACTACCGTCTTAAAATGAATTATTTATTTCTTTTCTATTTTTAATGATTATACTACTAGGTATTTCCAATTAATTTGAAAATTTTATACGAATTTTCGAAATGCTTCCTCAATTAATTTGATTGGTATTTTTAGAGATATTATTAGTTCTTAGTAGATCATTTAGAAAAATGGTATTTCTTATAAAAAGAATCGATCTACTAAAGTAGAAGTATAATATATATTGATCTCCTGAGCAAAAGTTGTATATAAATGTTTATAAGTGCATACAATCATTTACATTCGTTTTTACAGCAAAATTCAAAAGTATCAATTGTGTGACTGGATTGGAATTTTATAAACATTTGTTTAAAGCAAGTTTTAAGAAAATGTATATTATGAATGTAACCATTGCAATAAACTGTTCAAATATGGATTAGAATATTAATTTAAAATACTATCATAGGTTTAAAATTGTTGTTGCATCAGTCTGGTTTACATAAAATATACATCTTCATATAATTTAAATGAACGTGGTTTGAGCTTGTAAATTAGAAACTCAATCAAAAATCTATAGACTGAAATCGCATCAGATCAATAATATAGATATTTTTGGGAAATTAAAGTTTCGTGGATATAAAAGATATTTGAAGTTTTATTAAGTAGTTAATAATTTTCTAACTTAGAAATCAAAACTGAATAATTTTCTGATATATTTTTTAGTGATTTCGTCATAAAATTTGTTAATAAATACTATTCAATAGCCGATTTATAACTATGTTTTTTACAAAAATGAAGTAAATGACCACAAATAATAATGATTGAATAAATTTATATCTTAAATTGTTTTTTTTAAGATTAAGAGTGTTTTATTTATAATACAAATTTATTTATTTCTGAAAATAATTAATATGCGTCAGGACACCTTCTCTCCCTGAGAGGTAAGGTGACTCTTTTTTGTAGTTTGCTCTTGAAAAGAAGACCTGTATCTCCTAAATCCGTATTATAACCCAATTGGTATTTTTCGCCGGGTGCCTAAAAACAAGCACATAATTATTATCGTATTCTTAATTAAAATATTCATATTTCAAAAATATACCTGCTTCAGAGCATCCACGTATGCTTTATAGTCGTCATGACTGATCACAAATTCAGGCACATCGAATCTTGGAATATTGACCATCATCATAATGTTATTCTTGTCGTCTGCGTATCTGTTTCTCGCACAGGCCCATTCCTCTTCGAGACGGAAATCCCAATCCTTCATTTTCATTAGCGGATTATCCGTGGCGGCGAAGTCGATTCTCTCAATATCTTCGACAACGACCTCTGGATCACCACCCTCGGACCAGTCGTAGACCAACAATTCAGCGTGCTTGCTGATTTCCTTCAAGTACTTCTGTTTGTAATTCGTTTCCATTTCGCTTAAATATTCTGGCGTTAAGACTTTGGAGTTGACTTCATAGCTGATGCTGCGTTCCTTGATATTTTCAAGTACTTTGGGTACAGGAACATCCAAGTAAATGACCAAATGCGGTCTCATTAATTCTTCAATGGTGTTCTGACGCAATTCGTAATACGCGGATCTTGCTGGTTTGGAAACATATCCATTTTTGCACATAGCTTCCATGAAGACAAAGTCAGAATAAACACTTCTGTCCAATACAACACCTTGTCCAGTGCTCAGAAGATGAGCCAAAGCATCAATATATTGAGAGAATCTAAAAAAAATATATATAAGAACATTGTTTTATGATTAATCTCACAGTTTACTTACTTTACAATATATTGTTCCATTTGGAAGTTGGCAGTGAGTCTATTTTGAGGATTCAACAAGAAGTTGTTCACATCGAAGCTTCTGCAGGATTCTGGTACCTGCTCATCAAGTTTACGCAAATCATAACCGTAGTTGTTGATGTAATTCATATCCAGATTAGCTTCTGGCATGTAAAGCATATCCAACTCATCAGCCAAGGTTTTGGCAAATTTCGTTTTGCCAGCAGCAACAGGCCCTTCGACAATGACAATCTAAAACATAACATGTACTTTACATAACACATCATTCTTGAACCATTTACATTACCTTAGAGTTTTCATCGAACCTGGAGGTGGTTTTATCATACAAACTATGGAACCAGGTGTATCTTCTCTCCTTGTAGTCCCATGGGGCTGGCCTGACAATCGAAGGGTCCTTCAGTTTAATCGTCTTGCCGGAAATGCATCGCAATCCAACAAATTCGATGTTCTTCCGGTTTAATAATTTACAGGTTCCGGACAACCTGCCGAAGCTAATTCGAATCAAAGAACCCATTCTCAATGTGCCCTAATCTGGGTTCAAAAAGTTCTTTACATAATACAGTGTGTGACAAGTCGTTTTGACAGCTGTCGACACAGTTTAGTGCTAACTTCAGCGAACATAACCATAAATGATCTTTAATTCAATAATTATACAATATAAATCAATTTTATTTATTTTTCCCATTAAAAAGATTATTTTAGTGCATTTACATTTTTTAATAAAACTAAATAAATTATAATATTAATGTAGACATATTAATGCAGATGGCGCTGAAAACAGTTTAATATGGTTCAAACAATACAGAGACGTATTCAGGAAAAACTGATTATGTTTTAACTACTTCAGAAGCGGTGGGACACTGTACCACCTTTCGAACATGCCCAGTGGGGCATTATTATAATGTTTTAGAAAATATCCAGAAAAGATGAATTACCTCTTCCTTGACGAAGTTGTTTAGGAATTTCTGAGTTAATATTTCTTTTTAAAGATAAAAAAATGTATATTAATTGTAAAAACTTTATTAATTAGGACCCTTTCACTAAATTCATTACTTAATCAATTAATTCGCGTAATTGAAAACTTTACAAAATAATATTCTATAAGAAAAAATAATCAATACTCAATAAACTAAAATTAAATTGAAAGTGCATAACTGTTTCTAGAGAATTGTTATAATTGCAATTACTTATAGCTATTAACATATTAGATTAATATATTGTTTAACATTTTTTTAAGGTGCTGGACAAGTAGTCACACAAGAGGTATTAATTAAGGAAGCTTGAAGCATTCCTTCAGGACATCGACATCCTCCAATGCATCCGACCTCACAAAATGGAACGTAGTCTTGTCCACAATAGGTATCATTTGGACAAGCCGATCCACATATTGAAAAAACTTGTCCGCTTGGACAAAATTGACCTTTAATGTAATATTAGGTTGGACACTAGATTATAAATTATACAAGTTTATGCTTACCGTATATAAACACGTACATACATGCCAACGGTATTAACACTTTTAGCAACATCTTCATACTTAACCAACTGTTGACTGTAATATAAATGTACAATTTAAATGTTGTTTCCAGCTTTATATATAGGCATTTTTCATTGATTGCACACCTATTAATAATATGGATATTTGGAAATACTTGAAATCGATTGCAAAGTTTCCCAATGGCTTGTTTACATGTGAAATTACAATTTGCATTTTAAATCAATACTATTCAAAATTGCAAATATGATTCATAACAACCAGTGGAAGAATTGAATATTCACATCATTTTTCAAAATCCGATATAAAACTAATTGCAATATTGTTATAAACATAATTTATTTATTAAGAGCTGCTTGAGCATAGCACCTTGTTATAAATACATTAAATTTACTATTAACAAACCACACAAGTATTGTTGGTTTTAGAAACAGCTTTGGTTCCATTGGGACATCGACATCCAGATACACATCCGACCTCACAGAAGAAAGTATAATTGAGATTGCAATAAGTAGCATTTGGACAAGCCGATCCACAAGCGACATAAACCTGTCCATTGGTACATGTTTGCGCTGCAAGTCGATATGAAATTTATAATCAAAGAGATTAAAAGCAATTGAACTTACCATATATGCAAATATAAACTGTTGTTAAAAGTAACGAAATTTTCCAAAAAATATTCATTATGAGGGTTTAAAAGTACTGTATATTATTAATATGAAAGTACTGTTCAAATTCAAGTTTTAGTTCGAACCTTTATACGTATAATATTATCGAAAGAATGTTAAACGTTTAAAAGAAAATGTTGATAAAGAGATTCCTTTAATAAAAACATGTGTTATTACCTTATTTTCTTGGTACAATTATTACTTTAGTACTATAATATTTTTTAATGTGGAATGACTCAAGTATCTAATTAGCTAATTCTCAAAATATTTTTTTTAATAAATTAAAGTTAATGGAATACCAAAAAATGGTCAATTAATAAATAATTGTGATTTATAAAAAAAAATAATTATTATAAATGGTTTTTCAAATAAAGTTTTATTTAATCCTTTATTTAGATAACTAAATAATTGTTCACAATGATATAAATTCGACCTTAATTGATACATCTATTTCATATAGTAAATAAGTTATAATTTTATATTGTTTGTTAACGTTTAATTTTAAACTTTTTTTTAACCACCTATTATACATAAAACGTTATATTATTCACACATATATTCCAAATTAAAAATGTAAATAAACTGTTAACAATTCTCCATGTTTCCTTTCCATTTTCCATCGCTTTCGCACAGCAACATCTTCTCCACTTTGTTTGGACAAATTAAGGTAATTGTATTGTTGTACAGATACGATCGTCCAACAATTTGTGTATCTTCCAATACAACTGGTTTTCCACACGAAATTTCTGAAAAAAAGTTACATATGTTATATTTTTGTTTGTTTATATTATAATTGTATAGTAAGGTAATTCTCATATACTTATATTATTATTGTGTGTGTAAGTAGTTTTAAATAGTGAACTAAAATTATAGAAACATTATACAAACTTATTGTTATTATTACATTTTTTGTAGAAATCAAATGTCCAATTTTCAATTAAAACTTCCTATAAATAAATTGGTGTGTTAAATATGAAGTTATGTTTCTATAGATCATGCATATGCAAGTTAATTTTTATTCAATTACAAGTCGAAATATTTATAATCAGCGTGTTCATTTATTCGGGCAGGTTTGGTTGGCACGGGATGCATCTCCCGGTTTTTCGATCGATGAGTTGTCCTTTCGGACAGAAGCATCCAGGAACGCATCCGACTTCGCAGAAAGGTATATAATCATCGCCGCAAATCTGGGAACACCCGGATCCGCATCTGGAGTAAGCTTGGCCGCTCGAACATTGCATACCACCTTCAAATTGAAATTTGTCCATCTAGTGTATCAGCATTGAAAATATCTTACCCATGGCGATGCCCACGCAAACGAAAAGACAGAAGATCGTTAACAACTTAGACATGCTCGATGATCAACACGTATTTGGTTGCTCTCCGCCTTTTTGCACTCGTATTTATTTGGACCGATTTTAATTTATGGGGTCATTAATTCTGACACGTCGATTAGATTGTGTTAAGCGAATGATAATGCAGTGTAATGTATGACTTACTAAAACATTTGCCTTGCATCCTGCCCCAATTTCCATTAGACATGCACCGCAGTCGCATGTTGGAAAAGCCTTTGTAACCTTTCACGCACTCGTACGTAAGCATGTTACCAATTTGGAAGACCTGATCTGGCTCCAAGAGTTTCGGTACCATATGCTTATACTTCGGTGGTTTTGGACACATGTTTGCTACGAAATAATTTAAGTAAATATTGAAATAATACAAGTGATTACAGAACTCACCTAAGCAGGACATCTTCAATTCGGTCCAATAACCATCGATGATGCAAGTACTGATATTTGAACCATGCATTTTGTAACCCTCTCTGCATTTGTAATAAACCGATTCGGCTTCATTGCTCTGCACCAAAGCTAAACTCGCTTCTTCTAAATATCCGTTTGTTGGAGCTTCAGGTACATGTTCCAAGCTGCAAGGAATCTTCAATTTCTTCGTGGATTTGCAGATTGGTATATCGTAGTCCCAGCTGCCATCGTGTAAGCACGTAAGGACGCTCTCTCCATTCAACTCAGATTCTTCGACGCACTTAACTTCCACCTGTAATCCTACCTCGAAGTTGTCGTAATCTTCGAAAGCAGCCTCAGTATAGTCTTCAGTCAATACAAGAAGTTGCGCATTTTCAGGCGCATCGAACTTAATGCATTGTATTCCCACGCATTTCGGAGCTTCAGGATACCAATTCCCATCTTCCTTACAAGTCCTAATTTTCGAACCGGTCAAGTTGTAACCGTGGTTGCATTTGTAGGTAAGCTCTTCGGAATATGTGTATCGCCTTCCACGAAACACACCGTTTGAAATATAACCCGGATGTCCGCATTTCACAGCTAGAAAAATAAAATCGCATTATATATATTATCTCAGATATTATAACATGTATTAATTACGTATACAAATAGGAGCGACTTTATCCCATTTCGAAGATTTCGTGCAAATCCTTTGAGTAATATTGGTATTGTACCCGTTTTTGCAAGAGTAGAAAGCAGTGGAATTTACAATAGTTACGTTTCCGTTGATGGGCGCTTCCAGAATTGGGCAATTCTTGCAAAACGTTGAGTCTTCTACAGTGATATCTCCATTAATTCCAATCGCGATTTCCGGCCAAGTATATACATCTCCAAAAACACTTTGGTTGCAACTCATCGATTCTATGATATCGCCATGACTCAAGACTTTAGAATGCATTTCGAAATATGCCATTCTTCCAAGAAACGATTCTGACCTGCTGAATTTCCCTCCTAGTACATCTTGCTCTTGACCCAAAAATAACTTTCCGCCACCTAAAATCATTCTTTAATGCAATTAACTCTATTAAGTATATTCCTAATTCACCTTTAATTTGTTCGCCTTTTGATAAATTTGTTCCATTTTGAATCATTTTTCCGTTAAGATATATTCCAAAAATTCCATCAAGACTTTCCCAATTAAAGCAGAAGAAATTCCAGTTTCCATCGTTCAATACAATATCACTGACTATGTATTTATTGTTAATATAAATTACCAATCTAAAATATTTCAATTAATGTTACAATACTTAAAAAAAATGATAACATAATAATTATTTACCCAGTGTAATCGGTAATTGTAAAGGCATTATCAAATTCAGCAGTTGCATACGACAATATAGTTCCATAATTAAAACTATCGTTCGTTTTTACCCATAAACAGATGGAAACCTCAAATAATTAATTTACAAGGTGGTATTGACTTAAGGTTTTGTTGCTTATAATTACTTGATTAAGATCGTTTTGGAAACCGTCCATATTCACAAAATCTGTGGTCGATGATCTCGGAAAGTTCAGAATGTAATCCTCTTTCAATTCATTGTCACAATTTTTCCCTGAAAATCCTCTGAAACACTTACATTTGTAACTAAAATTTTCGATTTCTTCGCATTTCCCATTGTGACAATTGACGTTTTTACAAGGATCCAATTTCTGCGTGCAATTTACTCCTTCGAAACCCTCCAGACATTCACACCTGTTGATTAGGAGGAATGTTACGTATCATGTAATTAAAATTATTAGCGAAGTACTTGAAAGTCGAATTTTCGTTGTAGCAAATAGCGTTGTCTGGGCACGGTTGATAATCGCATGGTAAGTAACTGCATCTTCGACCTACGAATCCTCCTTCGCACATACACTTGAATCCATTGATATCTTCTCTACAGGAGCCATTGTTTTGACATAATTCTTCGAAGCAATATTCCAATTTTTTATCGCACAAATCACCAATAAATCCTTTAGGACATAAGCAGATTTCCTCATCCTCGGTGTTAAGGCAGGTTCCACCGTTTGTACATTGTAATTTACAAGTATCTGCTATTTCTCCGCAACTCAATCCTAAATAACCTTCCAGACACTTGCAACTGTAAGTTGATTGATCTTCGTTGATGCAAGTCCCGTTGTTCTGGCATGGATTCGATGAGCACGGTTCACTACCAATTTCACAATGCGATCCTTAAATGCAACAACATATTAATTATATAATCAAAATTTTATGCGCGAAACGCATACCTATGTAATTATCATCGCATAAACAAGAGTACTGAAATTCTTCGACAACGCATGTGCCGGAATTGCAAACTTTTTCTATTTGGCATTGGTAATCGGTATTCGGAACGCAATCGTTCGAACTGATTGCACCTCTGGAAAATGTGGTCAAAGATTTCGAGCAAGTCATGCAATTGATTTGTCCGTGTTTGGATTGGTATTGTCCCAAAGGACAAGATGTGCAGTAAGGTTTCAGAGTTGTTCTTTCAATTATAGCATTTGGATGATTCTTCGGTCGTTTTATTTGCTTCTTTCTAGCATAAGTTCCTGGTGGACATTGCTCTAAATCAAATGTAATGTAAATTAATGAATTAATAATCATAAATTATTATTTAATTACCTATACAATCTTCTAAAGATTTTGCATGTAGCTTTCTGGTAGAATAATGATCCGGACATGATAAACATCCCATTTGACCGGTTTTATCATTATAAGATCCAATTGTGCAGCTTTGACAAGAGTTTGATGTTTCATTGTGGAATGTTCCTTCTGGGCAACGAACTACAGATAAACGACAATTGGTTGAGATTGCAAATTTCTAATTATTAAGATTACCGCATTTTAATTTTTTGATGAAAGAGCCTTTCGGACAAAGGATTTTTGATTTTTGAACGAGAACTTTCAAACCGTCCTTCTTAATCTGACTAAAGTTGGGAACTTTTTTAGCCAAACCGATATTCTTGGCGTGCAATTTGAACTTTACGTTAACCTTCTTCCTTCTAAAGAATTTCCTTTTGCCCGGTTTTTCCCTCACGTCAATTTCCCTCTTTATTATATTCGACGATTCCTCCTCCTCCTCATCCTTATCATCATCATCGAGACAGATTGCTTCGGTGGTAACTTTGCATTCGAAACCTTCGCAATCGTTTTCCAATTTGTTGCCGATTTCATTTCCAAAATCTGTTAAGTTGCTTTCGTTCTGACAAAGTTCTTTACGATCGTCCACTTCAATAACTCCAGTATGATTCACCTCCAAAGGTATTTCACTTACGGAACAGCCGAGAAGCGCTCCTGCGTTGCTGTACCACATGGGTTGGCTATGCTCACAAATGAATTTGGTTTCATTGCCAACATCAATTACACTTGACTGATATAAAGGTAGGGCATATCCCTCATCGCAAGTGACGACGCATTGAATTTGGTCGGAGAATGGTTGACAATCTGAATGTCCGAAAATCGGATCGGGCAGATCTTCACATTTGGACTCTATAAAAAAATGTTATTTTGGAACTAAACAAATTCTTAGTAATCAGCAATTACCTTGTAATGTTATATTGAGTGTACAAGAGGCTGTATTGTTAGAGAAATCTGTAGCGGTGTAAATCACTTGAGTAGTTCCAATATCGAACAAACCAAATTCGTGAGTTTTATGTACCTTAAAAGAAACAAATAAAATCTAAATATATGAACTGTATAAGTCTCTTACATTGACGTTTTGAGAATTATCATAGATGACGGGTTCATCCCATGTTAAGTTTTGCGGCTGTTTCTCGACGGTTAAAAACGGCGGAGGGTCAACGCATTGTTCTATATTGGGAGGTTGCTTATCTATAAAAAAAATGTACTTAAATTAATAATTCTGAATGTATCGATTTATACTGCTTACCTAATATCTTAACGGTGAAATTACACTTAGCTCTGTTCTTGAAGCCGTCTTGAGCAAAATACGTGACAATAGTTGTACCAATTTTGAATTTGAAATTGTTTACTTTCTTTATGGAAGGTTTAGTCCAAATGGAGACGTTCAAATTGGAGTTATCTGCAATTTAATTAATAAGAAATGTTTTCTCGAATTTTATTTGGAATTTACCAGTAGCATTGGGGACATTCCATGAAACGAAACCATAAGGTTTTCCGGTTAAAGTTTCAGCTTGTATATTATCAGGGCAAGTAATATTCGGTTTGGTAATATCTAAAAATATTAAACAATAAGAAATACAATGTTACATGATGGATTTGATGTAACCTTTGCAAAATACTTCATCAATACTGTCCCATGTTCCGTGCTGTCCTGAGCAGACTTTCTGTGATGGACCAACCAATTCGAATCCTTCGTTACAAACGATATTGCATTTCTTTCCGAACGACTGTTTACCTGTTGTGCAGGATTTTGGCTCGACTGTTCCAAAGTTGATTTGCGAGAGTCTGTTGCATTTGATTTCTAATAAATCATAAATTACAAATTAGGTAATTATTTAAAGATAATTTAATAGAGAGTTTACGTTTGCAAGCCGTTTTTAAACCATCCCAACGAGCCAAAGGTAAGCAAGTCCTTTGAACAGATCCTGTTAAGGTTCTTCCTCTTTCACAAGCGAATGAGCAGACTGTGTCCACGGGAAGTTTTGATTCTGCGGTAAAGTCTTCACCTAAATCTGAGTGCTTGCAGTACATTGAACCGTGTGGAGGAGCCTGCAGTTTATTGCAGGTTTTTACTTCGCAGGATGGATTCTTGCCGCTCCAAGTGGCATTCGATAGACACAATCTTATGCTGCTTCCGATTAAAGTGTAACCAACAAAACATCTAACGCCGCACGCGCTATTCAGTACGTTACTGCAATTCTTCCTTTTGACGAAATATCCGTTTTCAGGAGGTTTAAGTTTCGGACAAGTGATAACTGCAAGAAGAAATTACGTAATTGATCAAATTTATAATTTGTACCTAATACCTTCGCATTTATGGTTATCAGCTGCTTTGTAACCGCTTTTACAAGTGCAACTGCTGATCCCAATCGCTGGTGGAAAAGTGTAATGATTAATGTCCGGACAAGGAAGACAAAGGTTTGGTCCACTTGCGTAACTTCCCGACGGACAAGCTATGATTAAGTTAATATTAATTAAAGGTTACTTCTAATAGTTTTATAGACTCACGTGAGCATCCGTTTTGTAAACCTGAACCGTAATACCCAGGCCTGCAAAGACAAGCGTAGTGACCAGTAGTTGTACCACAAGTGCATAAAGCCTGATTATCGCAGCAATTCTTCTCGGGACAAAGTTTATCGCATGGTTGATTTGATCCTAGAGGAATGTAATCTCCGCTTTGCAGATCTTAAATTATTAAAGTAGTTTTACAAGATAGTTTAAGTGGTTTCATGCAATGGTAATTACCGACGTGTAGAGCCCTTCTGGCTAGGCTTTCGAACTGTTCAAAACTATCCAATAAGAAGCTAAACATTTCGCCCGGCTCTGAAGCCAATTGATATAGTTCTTTGTAGTTACCATTGAGAATTCCTATGGTGAAAATTGTTACACCTAAAGCTTTTAAATCTTTTGCAACGGGAATGGGATCTCCTCCATTCGAGAAACCATCAGTAATTAGGAAAATGATTTTCTTAGCTTCAGATCTGCTTCCGTTTAATATATCCTAAGGTAAAATTTGTGAGTGAAATTACATTTGATTGTTAATTAAACAATGTACTTGAGCCATTTCGAAAGCGCCTAAAGTGTAAGTTCCTCCACCCGAGTACTTAATCTCGTTCAATTCTTTATTCAAGAGCAAACATTTGTTGTTGGTTTCGGTCGGCATGGAAATTTCGTTGATGTTCGTCACCTTGAGAATACATTCTTATAATTGTTTTCTTAAAAAGAAGTATAAAACTTACTATATGTTCCTGAGAACTGAAGGTGACTACAGCGATTCTGGTGTGGTTGAAGTCTACGGTAACATCGCTAAGTAATTTCTTCACGAATTTCAGTTCGCTCCTGAAATTGGTTTCGCCTACACTCGAGGATGCATCAATAAGGAAGACCAAATCGAGAATTCCTCCGGTTTTCAGATTGTCCACGTTTAGTTTGAAGACGGAACCGATGATGTCCACTTTCGACTTGAAGATGGAATTCTCGCGTTGGTCTCGATTCAATTTCGTGGCGATTTTCTTACCGCCGAAGTTGAAGTAATCTGAAAACTCGTTGATAACATCAGGATAGGTTTTACCTGCACCGATAACCGATATTATCCCAATTGAAAGGAAGAGGAGGAAGAAGAACGCGGCAGCCTTCGTCGACGCTGCCATTGTTACTACTAGATGAGGAATTTGTATCATTTGGACGGCGCCTAATCGGGTTTATTTTTAGATTTTATTACAATAATAAACCGAATAATTTTATACATCGTGAAACATCTGCATTGCATCTGTAAATTTATTTCAATACAATTAATCCGCGCTGCTGCTGCTTCTAACAGCGAGAATTTCAAAACTACAAAGATGTTATGTGACTTTTATTAGCGATGCATTCTATTTAAATCCTATGAACGAGACAAATTATCTTCAAACAAGTAAAAACTATATTTTCATATTGGACACTATTTTGTTGGTACTAAAAATTAAATATAGATTAATAATTATAATGTTTGAATATACAATTTTCATAGCAGATTTCTAAAATATATTTTATATAGAAATAAAATACAACATCGAGCAAAAAGACATATGGTCAATAGCTTTTTGCAGCAGTAAAATTTTATTTTTATAATTTTATTATTGTATTAAGTTTTATTATTTTGTAATTTATTTTTGCAATAAATATTATTTTTAAAATACAACATTCTTAAGATATTTTTTTTGTATCATTTTTACTAAATGTATCTAACATTCTTGTACTCATTCCCTAAAATATTTTATTTTTGAAAATATATTTTATCTGAATATCTATCCAATAAAACATAATGTTGGGAAAAGTATTTGTCTGTTAATGAATAAAATTAAAATAACATAAATATCTAACATTAATTATATTGCATAAAACCATTTAAATATTTACATTAGAAAAAACAACTGAGTTCGCAACTTCCATCGCAGTTTATCGAGGATTCTGCTGGATCATTGCAAGTGCAGAGAGGGAAACATAATTTGAAGTCAGCGAATGTGGGTGTACCGCAGATTTTGGTTAATAATGTGCAACGAAGAGGCAAATTCGTAGCTCTTGCAACTCTTGCCACATTTGCAGCTTCGACTGAAAAAAAATATGTAAAATGTAATTTGTTTGTAATTAAAAATATTATTAAAATTACTATATATTATATACCCTTACCATATTGGGAAGCAACAAATATGAATAATACAGTAAATGTAATTACTTTGTACATTTTACTTGTAGTTATTTGTAGATTGCAAATAAGTATTTTGGTTTTCATTTTGATCGACTTCCATTTTTATAGTGATTTTATTGTATACATCATAAATATATATACCTTAATATATACGATAAATATGTATAATGTATTCTTTGATAAGGAAAATATATATCGTAAACCGATGAAATGGAATATATTAATTAATTATTTTTTAAACTGTGACGTTTAATTAAAAATGTACACCTTAAAAATTAACACACAGAGTAAAGTTATATATATAAAAATATGAATGTACTTTTATTTATTCGTTTATTTATTCAAAAAATATCTTCTAAGAACAAAGCTTCTATATAAAAAAACATCGCAATTTCAATTGTTTATCAATTAAACAATTGGATTAAGGAGTAATAGCACCATTTAAAGCTTATTACTTCTGTCGAGTAATAAACAATTGAATTGAACTACAGGACAAAGAAGAAATAACATTTTGAAAATATATAATATTGGTCAGAAATATATATTAAAAATAATAGAAAAATGCATCAAAACACCAATAAACAATTTAAATTGAAAATGTTAATTTTTATTTGTACAAACAATGTTTTCTAATAAATATTTCCCTTTTAATAATGTCAGGTGGTAGACTGTAGCAGATTTCATGACGCTTTGTTATATCGCTCCTCGTCGTAATTATCAGCATCAGGGTGTTGAGTTACTTTTTCCTCTTTTTATATTATCTCGGACATCATCCTATCGAATTCGTCAGGATAATAGCATATCTCATGCCTCTCAGGAATTCCATTTACATTGATAGTTTCTTCATCTTCAATATGACCATAGTCACTTTCGTGGTCGTCGTTATCCATGTCCTCATCAGATTCATGCAGATAGTAGCAAACCTCGTCCAACTTGTATTCATTTACGTATACAACATCGTCGTCTTGAAAGATTTCATATACCTTCATATCAACTTCGTTCGGATAATAGCATAACTCGTGCAACTTGTATTCATTTACGAATACAACTTCGTAATCTCCATTCATCTCGTTGGCTTTAACTTCTCCACTATTATTTCTTAAACTCATTGTTATAAATTGCAAACTTGATGCTTCTTCTAGTATTTTATATTATATATTTTACAGGTATTATTTTCCTAATTTTATTAGGTGCAATAAATCCCCTTTCCTTTGCAGACATCGAAATTAACCTTCATTATATCTGTTTTTCTTGAAAGTATTTGTTGACAATTCCAAGAATAATCTATGAAAGAAGGGCATAATTAATATCTAGTTTTGTTGCCTTTAGGTAAAATTAGGGTAAATAATATATTGAAAATAAGTAATATTTGTTATAAATATATATTAAAAATAATAGCAAATACATCAAAAAACCAATAAAGAATACAAATTATGATTAAAAATAAAATATAAATTTTCAAAATTATTAATTTTTATTTGTATAAACGACGCTTTTTCATAAATATTTCAATATCGTCAGGTGGTGGGCTATAGCAGACTTCATGAGCCTCTGTTATATCGCTTCGGTGCATCGTCTCCTCATCGTAATTCTTATCATCAGGGTGTTGAGATACTTTTTCCTCTTTTTGTAATATCTCGGCAATCATCCTATCGAATTCGTCAGGATAATAGCATATCTCATGCCTCTGAGGAATTCCATTTGCATTGATAGTTTCTTCATCTTCGTGGTTGTCTTCATTCATGCTCTCATCAGATTCGTGTGGATAGTAGCAAACCTCGTCCAATTTGTATTCCTTTACGAACTCAACATCGTCGTCTTGACTGATTTCATCTACCTCCATATCAACTTCGTTCGGATAATAGCATACCTCGTGCAACTTGTATTCATTTATGAATACAACTTCGTCATCTGCATTCATCTCGTTGGCGTTAACTTCTCCACTGTTATTTCTTAAACTCATTGATATAAAATGGAAACTTGATGCTTCTTCTAATACTGTATTCAAGTAACTGGTGATAGCAGTACGTTGTTCACCTTTAGATCCCCTCTCCTTTAGATAAATGTTTACCTGCACAAAATAGTTATTCTTGGAATCATTAGATATATCATAAATTGCAGGCATCGAAATTAACCTTTATTACATCTGTTTTTTTTTGCAAGTATTTTTGACAATTCTAAGAATAATCTATGAAAGAAGGGCATAATTAATATCTAGTTTTGTCGCCCTTGGGTAAAATTAGGGTAAATAATATATTGAAAATAAGTAATATTTGTCATAAATATATATTAAAAATAATAGCAAATGCATCAAATAACCAATAAACAATATAAATTGAAGAATGATTAAAAATAAAATATAAATTTTCAAAATTATTAATTTTTATTTGTATAAACGACGCTTTTTCATAAATATTTCAATTTCAATATCGTCAGGTGGTGGGCTATAGCAGACTTCATGAGCCTCTGTTATATTGCTTCGGTGCATCGTCTCCTCATCGTAATTCTTATCATCAGGGTGTTGAGATACTTTTTCCTCTTTTTGTAATATCTCGGCAATCATCCTATCGAATTCGTCAGGATAATAGCATATCTCATGCCTCTCAGGAATTTTATTTACATTGATAGTTTTTTCATCTTCGTAGTCGTCTTCATCCATGCCCTCATCAGATTCGTGTGGATAGTAACAAACCTCGTCCAATTTGTATTCCTTTACGAACTCAACATCGTCGTCTTGACTGATTTCATCTACCTCCATATCAACTTCGTTCGGATAATAGCATACCTCGTGCAACTTGTATTCTTTTACGAATACAACTTCGTCATCTGCATTCATCTTGTTGGCCTTAACTTCTCCACTATTATTTCTTGAACTCATTGTTATAAATTGCAAACTTGATGCTTCTTCTAGTACTGTATTCAAGTAACTGGTGATAGCAGTACGTTGTTCACCTTTAGATCCCCTCTCCTTTAGATAAATGTTTAACTATACAAAATAGTTATGCTTGGAATCATTAGATATGTCATAAATTGCAGACAACGAAATTAACCTTTCTTACATCTGTTTTTTTTACAAGTATTTGTTGACAATTCCAAGAATAATCTATGAAAAAATGGCATAATCAATATCTAGTTTTGTTGCTCTTGGGTAATATTCAGGTAAATAATATATTGAAAATAAGTAATATTTTTTATAAATATATATTAAAAATAATAGCAAATGTATCAAAAAACCAATAAACAATATAAATTGAAGAATGATTAAAAATAAAATATAAATTTTCAAAATTATTAATTTTTATTTGTATAAACGACGCTTTTTCATAAATATTTCAATTTCAATATCGTCAGGTGGTGGGCTGTAGCAGACTTCATGAGTCTGTGTTATATCGCTTCGGTGCATCGTCTCCTCGTCGTAATTATTATCATCAGGGTGTTGAGAGACTTTTTCCTCTTTTTGTAATATCTCTGCAATCATCCTATCGAATTCGTCAGGATAATAGCATATCTCATGCCTCTCAGGAATTCCATTTACATTGATAGTTTTTTCATCTTCGTGGTGGTCTTCATCCATGCCCTCATCAGATTCGTGTGGATAGTAACAAACCTCGTCCAATTTGTATTCCTTTACGAACTCAACATCGTCCTCTTGAGAGATTTCATCTACCTCGAATACAATTTCGTCATCTGCATTCATCTCGTTGGCGTTAACTTCTTCACTATTATTTTTTGAACTCATTGTTATAAATTGCAAACGTGATGCTTCTTCTATTACTGTATTCAAGTAACTGGTGATTGCAGTACGTTGTTCACCTTTTATATTCTATATTTTACAGGTATTATTTTCCTAATTTTATTAGGTGCAATAAATCCCATTTCTATTGCACTATATCTTTTGTTACAAAAGTTTACCTGTAAAAAATAGTTATTCTTGGTATAATTAGATATACCATAAATTCCAGAGGTTCAAACATCGATAGTTCTTGGAACAAACTATAAAAATATGTCAAAAAACAATACAAATATGCAACACATCACTTTCTATGTCCACACTATACTATTTGATTATCTCGGAATCCCCTGACAGAGTATATGTGGGGGAAACAAGAGCAGTACAATATGATAATAGAACTCTTAGTGATTGGAGACTGTGTCTTCTGTATGGATTGATGGGCTTGGATCAAAAGTTCTTAACTAAATTATTTGGGTATTCTCGAGAATATTATTTCATCTAATGTTTTGCTAGTATCCTGTACTTTTTCCGTTTACATGTAATTCGTTTATTCTGTTGTTAATAATGTAACATTCATAGCCAATTATTGTTTAAGTAGATGTCAAATTTCCAGTTTTCACGCATCAGTAAATAAGTATATTCTTATATTTAATGTGGTGACTCATGTAAACGAATTAGTTGAAAAACATTTTCATACTCTGTAGTGTAAATGTGGGAATCTCTTTGAGCATTAACGAAAATAAATATAGTTATTTTTAATACTAAGTAAGCACCAAAGAAATATATTTATTTTATAACTATAATATTACACAAATAATTACAAAACAAATTGAAGGAAATAAAATTAAAATAATTTAATTATTATAAAGTCATTTTGCCATTTTTAAGAAATTTAACAATAAGAAAGACAATTACGAGAAACTACATAATGTTAGTATTAAATGTTTTCATTAAATGAAAACTTATAAGCAATTTATGGTGCAAGTACCGTTGCAGTTGAACCACAAATCATTGTTGTTCACGCATTCGCAGAGTGGAAAACAGAGATGTAAGTTAATGAATGTCGGCAAGCCGCAAAATCTATTTAACAGTGAGCAATGGATAAATTCCGGGACTATGGCTCTTGCCACTCTAGCAACATTTGCAGCTGAAATAAAAAAAAAAACTTAAATTTAAATATAATGTAAAGTACAATTATAAAAATGTAAATAAATGAATATTAGATATATAAAACAATATTTTAATTGATAATCATACAGAAATAAATACTTACGATAAACTTCAGCAACATAGATTAAAAAAAATGATAAAATAATGATTTTGAACATTTTAGTAATTGTCTTTAATTCGTTGACGAATCAAAATATTATAATTTTCGTTGGAAATAATTTCTACTTATATATCCATTAATTATTCATCTACATTACGTATCTGCATGTGAATAAAATAAAAATCTAGGTTCCTTCGATATATATTCATATTTTTTGATAAGAATAATAAAATTGGTCAAAATGAAATTTTTTATGTGAAGTAAATATTTACCGATTGTAATTATAATTTTGAGTTTATTTGTTAATTTATTACAATGAATTTGGAGTTCTTATTTAAATATTAAGTCTTAGTGATCATTTTTATATATATGAAGTTGCAAGTTTTAATTTTCTAAATATTTTCGTGTCCACAATTTGTTTATATATTAATGTAGACTTAAAATTTATTAACAAACTACATGGAATATTAAATTAATTTTTATAAATAGCTGTTGCAGATAATTTTGGTATTTTTTTGTCGATAAAATCTCTCATCTCTTTGACCTAACACGCAAATCGACTCTTGGATCTGTACGCCTTCGTACAGATATCTTAGCATTAAAATAGTATATTATTATATTGATATCCTCAATTGCCCTTATTCCCAATTTTAATAATATTTCCCTGTTGCAATAATTCAAATACTATTTTGTAAAATAATGCAGTACTATTAAAACAATTATAACAACCTAGTTTGCTAATATCTGAATGGTAAAAAAAATTGTTAATTATAGCATAGTCATTTTTCTTTTTGCTCATTAAAATAACTAATTTAAACTGTAATTTATTCTCTGTTATCTGCCTAATAACAATAGTAAACATTTTAATTGTTCAATTTTGCTATCAAAGTATATTTGATTTATGTTCGAGATATTAATATACCGACAAATAACTTTTAAAACAATTGTTGGTAAACGTAATGCGTAATGGCGTGTACATATGAAGTTTGTATATATCGATTTATTAAAGGGCCGATGATAAATATCAACAGGTGTAAACAAATCGTTGTCGCTTGGCATCTCCCCGACAAAAATTTGACGGCTTTCATTTTTATTGTGTCGTTTGGGACTGAAAGATGTCCCAAAGAAAGGTTAATCTGAATAAGGCTTTGGCCAGAGCGAAGAGATGCGGTCAGTTAAGCAATTTGGATTTTGAGGTTGCAAGTGTTCACGTGGCGGATGAGTTTAACGTGCCCGAGAAAAAGCGGAAGCAGTTGGTGGGATTCTTGCAGAAGAAAATCATCGATCTGAAGAATAAGGAGTTTAAGAATGTCATTGATCCTGAGTATCCGAAGATAGCGAGGAAGGATACGAGCCACGGAGATATGCTCACCTTTGCCGATGCTCTTCCCACAACAGAAATAGATAAGTACGTGCAAAAAGATATAATCTATAGGACGGGTATGAAGAAGCAGCTGGAAGTTTACTCGGATACTGCGGCCAGTGTGACGCTCGAGTTTAGAAACTTATATCTTGAGGTGACCCATGCAACTGGAGTTAACAGTAGGGTGAGGCCTTTGGATGGGTCGGAAACACATTTCACTTTGAAACCGTACCAGTATTTTGGTAAAACTGAGCATTATGATATTTATCTGGCCAATCGTGAAAGAATCAAGAAATACTTGTTCATACAATATCCTCTAATGCAGAAGATTTTGAAATGCTCGACGATTTTACCACCAATTTTAATCGACATCAGCAAATTTCGCGAGGCCGAGAATGAAATCCCAACCATAATGGCTGTCTTCGAAGAAGAAGTTGCCGAAGGCGCGAAACTCATTAAGAAATTTCATTTTGCTGTGAGTAAAGTGGCCAGAACTTTTAAAAACGAAGTACCACAAACCCCAAGGGCAAAAGCTCAATATTTAAGGACGGGAACCGGAATTCTAGCTTCATGTATTGATCGTCTCTTACGTAACACCATTCTTCAAATCATCAACATCACAGGAGATGGAAATAGAATACCTTTTCTTAAACTGAATTTGGGTTACGATCACGGCTTGATTTTGAGCCCAACGGCAGAAGAAACCACGCAAATGTACGCGAAATTACTCAGAACCATATCGAATTCAGCAAATGAGCTTCTGGCTTTGGAAAGTATAATGTACGAAGGTTCAGACGAATATTACATACCAATATACATACAAGAACAGTTTCTCGAAGAGTGTATCGAACGTATCAGATCTAATATACAGGAATTTTATATTCCGGTATACGAATACGTGACTAAGTTGGAAAGCAGCTTTGCTTCTTTGTATCCGGAGAGTGAAGATCAGAAGGACAGCGAGCAAGACTTAGAAATTAGTTTTGAGGATGGCTGCAAACAGATCGATTTTTACATGAATTTAATGGACGAGATCGAAGAAATCGTTACCAACGAGTATTATGCAATTGGCGCTGTAGAGCAGGAAGACTGTAGAGCTAATTTGAAAATGTCCATTTACAATTTAATAGAAGATATAGCTGCAAAACTTGTTTTACAGCACGAATGGGAAAACGAAGATATTTGTGAAGTTTTCCAGAAGCTAACTGAACGTGCTTTAGAAATACCCAAAAATTCTCAAGAGCTAATGGATCAGGGGGTTTACATGACTTGGGCTAAAACTGTTTTAGTGCCACAATTAACTGAGAGAATTCAAAATATGTTGGTGGTGATTTGCAGACTGACCGATATCACCACTATAACCTATGATCATATGCAGCTGAATTGCAGAACCGTCCATTGGATCTGGAATATTAAACCAATCTTGGAAAAGAATTCCTCAATGTACGAAGCATACAAATACGATTTTGAGGAAGCTTTGGCAAACGCCGTTGTCAAAATAAATGCAGATATCCAAGATATTATACCGTTTTTAACTATGTTAGATTCTATGGACAATTCTGACAATGCACGAGAATACGTGCATCAGTTGGCTGGAATATTGGTTAAAATTAGAAGCTGCGAGCAACAGAAAATTTTGATCAACAAGGAAGAGGCAACGTTCAAATATCCTATATCTTCATTTCTTGAATTGGAAGATTTGAAGACGTGGATCTATCAATTCTATCATCTTGTTAAGTTGTGTATGAATTGGAACCGTAGTTTCTTTGCCTGGATGGACGGTCCTTTTGAATTTTTAGATGCAGTTCTGGCCGAAGAACAGTTGGAGGAATTCTTTAAGGAATTGCTGAAGATACAGAAGTACTACAGGAATAAACTAAGACAAATGGCAACTGAGAATAATGCAAAAACATTTCAAGGTAATTGTTATATTTTTGTAATAGTAATTGATTATTTTTTTTTATACATTTTAGGATCCGTGGAAGATCCTGATCCTTTGAATCAACCTGCTCCTATTCAATTGACTAGAAAGGTGATGCAGCAGCTTAAAGATTTCAGACCTGCTCTTCAGCTAATGGGAATTATGTGTAATTCGGCGCTTCTTCAACGTCATTGGGATGATATGTCTGAGATAGCCGGATTCGATATTACTCCGGATGCTGGGACCACTCTAAGAAAACTCACAGAGATTGACTTGGGTCCTAGCTATGAGCCTTATGAGATTATAAGTACTGGTGCTGTCAAAGAATTGCAGTTAATTACAGCGCTTAGGAAGATGATAGCCGAATGGGATGATGTTAAATTTAAAACTAGCGCTTACAAAGATTCTGGAGCTATGATTTTAACAGCATTAGATGATGTGCAAGTTATACTAGATGACCATATTATGAAGACGCTGACTATGCGAGGTTCTATTTTCGTGAAACCGTACGAAGCCCAAGTGAAAGCCTGGTACGAGAAGATTACTAGGATGAATGCAACCATCGATGAATGGGGAAAAGTTCAGTCGCAGTGGCTGTATCTTCTTCCAATTTTCTCATCTAAAGATATCGTAATGCAGATGCCAGCAGAAGGAATATTGTTTAGAGAGGTGGATTCTACTTACAAAAGATATATGCAGGTCGTAGCTAAAGATCCTCGTGTTATTGAGAGTGCAGGAGCTGTCGGACTTTTAGAAGCGATGCAAATGTGTACTCAAAATCTTGAGAAAATTAATGATGGCGTGACCTCGTACTTGGAAAAGAAGAGACTGTTCTTTCCTCGATTCTTTTTCCTCTCCAACGATGAAATGTTGGAGATTTTGTCGGAAACTAAAGATCCTCTCAGAGTGCAACCTCATCTCCGAAAATGTTTCGAAGCAATCAACAAGTTGGAGTTCGATGGACGTCTTCAGATTCATGCAATGATGAGTCAAGAGAACGAGAAGATAGATTTTATGAGGATAATCAAAACGGAGGAGGCCGGAGGAAGCGTTGAGAAGTGGTTGATCCAAGTAGAGGAGCAGATGCTTTCTTCCATGCGTAATCAGATATTCGAAAGTTGGACCGATTACTGCAATAAGCCAAGAACACAATGGATGCAGGATTGGCCCGGACAAATTGTTCTGTGCGTTTCACAGATCTACTGGACTGCTAACTGTCAGACTATATTAGGTCCGGAGAGCACATCGACTCTGCAGGAACTCAGCGATATTTTGAAGAGCGAATTGCAGGACACTGTCGAGTTGATCAGAGACCCGAATCTCACTAATTTGCAGCGAATTACGATCAAAGCGCTTATTGTTATCGACGTACATGCAAAAGACGTTGTTTACGAAATGTACCAGCAGAATGTTCTACACGAGAACGAGTTTAAATGGTTGGCACAGCTACGATACTATTGGGAAGATGAAGTGTGCCAGGTGCGAATCATCAACGCCACTGTAAAATACGCCTGTGAATATTTAGGAAATAGCGATAGGTTAGTGATAACTCCGTTAACGGATCGATGCTATCGCACATTGATTGGTGCGTACCATTTGCATTTGAATGGAGCTCCGGAAGGACCGGCAGGAACCGGAAAAACGGAAACGACGAAGGATTTGGCCAAGGCCTTGGCCGTGCAGTGCGTGGTTTTCAATTGCTCTGATGGATTAGATTACAAGGCGATGGGGAAGTTCTTCAAAGGATTAGCCTCTTCTGGCGCCTGGGCCTGCTTCGACGAGTTCAATAGGATCGAAATAGAGGTGCTTTCTGTGGTGGCACAGCAAATTATGTGCATAGTCCAAGCGGTCAGAGGACACGTAAAGTCATTTTTATTCGAAGGAACCGAATTGAACTTGAACCCATCTTGTTATGTGTGCATTACAATGAATCCCGGATATGCGGGAAGAACGGAGTTGCCTGATAACTTGAAAGTGTTATTCCGTACTGTAGCTATGATGGTACCAGATTACGCGATGATCGGTGAAATATCATTGTATTCGTACGGATTCCAAAACGCACGAATTTTAAGCGTAAAAATTTCGACTACTTATCGATTGTGTTCGGAACAATTGTCTTCTCAAAATCACTATGATTATGGAATGAGAGCTGTGAAGAGTGTTTTATCTGCAGCTGGTAATAACAAAAGAAGTTTTCCGAACGAGGACGAAGACATTATTCTATTAAGATCAATAACCGATGTTAATTTACCCAAATTCTTAAATCACGACGTACCATTATTTGAAGGAATCATCAGTGATCTATTTCCTGGAATTAAACTTCCACAGCCTGACTACGTTATCTTCATTAAGGTATTATATCAATCATACTAATTGAATGATTATTTCTTTATTAATTATATAGGCAATGAAAGATTCTTGCAAAAGGAGAAACTTGCAAGCGAGGGAATCGTTTATTATCAAAGTGATTCAAACTTTTGAGATGATGATAGTTCGTCATGGATTCATGTTGGTGGGAGAGCCATTTGCTGGTAAAACTGTTACCTTAAAAGTCCTTGCAGATACATTGACTTTGCTTTGTGAAAGAGGACATCCTCAATTGAAGGTGCAATATCAAATAATAAATCCTAAGAGTATAACCATGGGACAATTATATGGACAATTCGATCCGGTAAATTAATATAATCGTATGTATACACTACATATTTAAAGTAATATATTTGATTTTTAGGTTTCTTATGAATGGTTCGATGGTGTTATTGCCACATGCTTCAGGAATTTTGTGATTGATCCTGCACCGGATAGGAAATGGGTCATTTTCGATGGTCCTGTAGATGCTGTTTGGATTGAAAATATGAATACAGTTTTGGATGATAACAAGAAGCTTTGTTTGATGTCTGGGGAAGTTATGGCCATGACCAATTCAATGTCTATGATCTTCGAAGTTATGGATTTGACACAAGCTTCGCCTGCAACAGTAAATTATACATTTTTAAAACAAAATCAGAGGTGGATTATATTTAAATATTGTTGCAGGTTTCTCGTTGCGGAATGATTTACATGCAACCAGAAACTTTAGGTTGGAGGCCTTTGATGGAATCGTGGGTGGTCAAGCAGAACCCCGAATGGTGTGGATCAGAATATAAATCAATGATTATCGGATTGTTTGATTGGTTAGTGAATCCGAGTTTATATTTTATAAGAAAGAAATGTAAACAAATTTGCGTGCCTGGCGAAATGAATTTGGTGAAGAGCATGATGCAAATTGTACAAATGCTTTTGGATGATGCTTGCTCTGAGAGTCAAAGGAAGGAAGATGATTTCAAATATATGATAGGATGGATTCAAGTCACATTTATGATAGCAGGTATTTCTTTACGTGTTTATTTTAATTAAATATTTTTATTATTTTAAATCATATAATTGTTGTGAATAGGTGTTTGGGGATTGGGTGGAATATTGGACACAGATTCCAGAGATGCATACGACGAGTTTTACAGAGGAATGTGGAAAAACGAGAATGAGGCTTATCCATATCCAGAGTTTATTGGAGAGAAACTGGAGGTGTTGATGCCTTTCGAAGGTATTCTAATGGATTACAGCTACATCTACAGACTGAAGGGGACTTGGAAATATTGGCCTGAAATTGTACGATCAATGAGAATTGAGGAAGCGCATAATGTACAGCAAGTTTTAATTCCAACAGTGGATTCGCTGAAATATATGAGCATGGTTGAGATGCTAATTAAATACAACATGCCTTTATTGATGGTTGGTCCAACGGGAACAGGAAAAAGTTACTATCTACAAGATTTGCTGATGAATAAATTGGATCAGGAAAAGTTCGTTCCAGCTTTCATTACTTTTACTGTGAAGATAAGTGCTAATCAAACGCAGGATTTGGTGATTTCGAAGTTAAATAAGATCAGAAGAGGCCGGTATGGATCTCCGAAGGGGAAAATGACTGTTATTTTTGTTGATGATTTGAATATGCCTGTGAAGGAAGTTTACGGTGCTCAACCTCCGATTGAACTGTTAAGACAGTACTTTGATCACAAAAACTGGTATGATCTTAAAGATACAACAAAATTGTTCTTAGAAAATGTGCTCTTTATTGCTGCAATGGGATTAGTGGGTGGAAGCAGACAGGAAATTTATGCTCGGTTTTTAAGGCACTTCACAATTTTCTCAATAAACGAATACAACGAGGAAACTCTGACAAAAATATATTCAAATATATTATTGTTGGGTTTGAAAAAGAATGGATTTCCGAGTGATATTATTATTATGGTAAATTCCATTGTATCGGCGACAATGAGCGTATATTTAGCGGCTATGGAGAAACTTCGACCGACTCCGGCCAAGAGTCATTATATATTTAATCTTCGTGACTTTTCAAGAGTGATACAAGGTTGTGGGATGCTTCGAAAGGAATCGGCCGAGGATAGAAAAGTGTTTGCCAAACTTTGGGTCCATGAAATATTGCGTGTCTTCTACGACCGGCTGATAGATAAAAAGGACAAAGAGTGGCTTTATGAGAAATTAAGAATATTTGTGAGAGAACACTTTAAAGATTTCTTCGATAACGTTTTCGAAAACTTACAAGATTCAGAAGGAAAAGTCAGCGAAGATAGTCTGAAGGACTTGATGTTTGGAACGTATATGGATATGGATGCTTCTGAAGAAGACATTCGATACGATGAAGTCGTAGATATCGAACACTTTAGGCAAATTGCGATGAATTGTTTGGACGATTACAATTCGACGCACAAAACTAAAATGGATATTGTTTTGTTCCGATACGCTTTGGAGCATTTATCCAAAATATGCAGAATATTATCGATTCCATCTGGAAGCGCTTTATTAGTTGGTGTGAGTGGATCAGGACGACAATCACTAACGAAATTGGCAACACAAATATCGCAGTACAGTTTTTTCCAACCGGAGATCAGTAAAAATTATGGAATGAATGAATGGAGGGAAGACTTGAAGAAGGTTCTAAAAGAATCAGGAGGTCGAGGAAAGTCCATGACCTTTCTTTTCTCCGAAGGCCAAATAAAGGAAGAAGGTTTCTTACAAGATATCGATTGTCTATTAAATTCAGGAGAAGTTCCAAACATTTTCCCCATTGATGAGAAGCAGGAGATCTTAGAAATGGTTCGGCTTGCAGCGCAAGGTGGAAACCGAAATTTGGATATTAGTGCCTTGGTGGTGTTTTCATTTTTCACCAAGAGGTGTAAAGAAAAGTTACATATGATGCTGTGCTTCAGTCCCATTGGTACCACTTTTAGGTCTCGGCTTCGATTATATCCCTCATTGGTAAATTGCTGTACTATCGATTGGTTCGAGGATTGGCCCGAAGATGCTCTCCAAATGGTAGCACATAGTTGGTTAACAGATATAAATTTGCCAGATGGTACAAAATATTGCGCAGTCACTGCTTGTCAATACTTTCATGTGGTTGCGAGGAATGTCAGTGCAGAGTTCTATAATGCAACCGGAAGAAAAAGTTACGTGACTTCAGCCTCATATCTCGAATTGATCAAATCTTTCACTACATTTGTTAATTCTAAGCAGAAAGAAATAATGAGGAACAAAAATCGATACCTTGTGGGTTTAGATAAACTGCAGAGCGCTGCTTCGCAAGTAGCTGAAATGCAAAAGAATTTGGAAGAGTATAAACCATTGTTAGAAGAGATGAATAGAAAGGCCATTGAAGTGACTAAACAAATAGCGACTGAGACTATACAAGTTGAAAAAGCTTCAACTCAGGTGAGACAAGATGAGAAAGTTGCTAATGTTCAAGCTGCTTCGGCTCAAGCGTTGAAGAGAGAATGCGAAGCCGATTTGGCTGAAGCTATTCCAATTTTGGAAGATGCGATCGCCGCTTTAAATACTTTGAAACCAAATGATATAACTTTGGTAAAATCGATGAAGAATCCACCGGAAGCTGTTAAAATTGTCATGGCAAGTGTTTGCGTTATGCGAGATGTTAAACCAGATCGAATCAACGATGCAGCTACTGGTGGCAAGATTTTGGATTATTGGGGTCCAAGCAAACGGTTGCTAGGAGACATGTACTTCTTGCAAGTATTGAAGGATTTTGATAAGGACCACATAAAACCGGAAATTATGGCGAAAATTAGGAAAGAGTTTTTACCGAACAAATTATTCAAACCTCAAATTGTAGCTAAAGCTAGCAGTGCTGCTGAAGGACTTTGCAAGTGGGTGATTGCTATGGACCTTTACGATAATGTTGCCAGAGAGGTTGCTCCAAAGAAGGAACGCTTGGAGAAAGCTGAACGTGAATATGCGGACACAATCGCTATATTGATAGAGAAAAAAGAGGCTTTGGCTAAACTTGAAGAACGTTTAGCTAATTTGAACGAGTTACTAGACGATGCTATTAAGAAACAAAACGAACTTCAGGAGAATGTTGATTTGTGCAAGAACAAACTACGCAGAGCTGTGAAATTGATTGGTGGTTTAGGTGGTGAAAGAACACGTTGGTTCCAAGCCGCCGAAAATTTACAACTGCTCTACGATTCATTAGCTGGAGATATATTAATATCTTGCGGACTTATCGCATATCTATCTCCGTTCACAATGGATTATAGGCAAACTACTGTGAACGATTGGCACAAACACGTAAGAGATTTAAGAATACCTTGCAGTGAAAAATTCGATTTTACTGATATTCTTGGATCTGATATAAAGATTCAGAACTGGTACATTAATGCTTTACCAAGGGACGCATTTTCTACAGAGAATGGTATAATTCAAGATAGTTCTAGAAGATATTCTTTAATGATCGATCCGCAAAGTCAGGCCAACATTTGGATAAAACACATGGAAAAGAAGAACGAACTTGAAGTGACCAAATTTTCCGATGCAAATTACATGAAAATCTTGGAGAAGTGCGTACAGTTTGGAAAACCGGCGCTTTTGGAAAACGTCGGAGAAGATTTAGAGGCTCCATTGGATCCATTGCTCTTTAAAGCTGTATTTAATCAAGCCGGAATAGAAGTGATAAGCTTAGGCGATAACGTTATTCCATACAACAAAAACTTTAAGTTATATTTAACATCCAAGTTACGAAATCCACATTATCTGCCGGAAGTTTTCAACAAGGTCACGATTATAAACTTTGCTCTGACGGTTCAAGGATTGGAAGATCAATTATTGGGTATTGTTGTTGCTAAGGAAAGACCTGATTTGCAAAGGCAAAGGGAAGATCTGATTGTACAAAGTGCGGAAAATAAAGCTGCGCTGGCGCGTGTTGAAGAGAACATTTTGAAAACTTTGTCTGAATCTCAAGGTGATATTCTTGAAGACGAGAGTGCTATAGAAGTGTTAGATTTCTCTAAGATCTTGTCCAATGATATAATAGCTAAGCAGAAGTCTTCAGTGGAAACTGAAAAAAAAATCGAAGGTTTTCGGTTGGATTACAAACCCATCGCTGAGCATTCTGCAGTTTTGTACTACAGTGTTTCGGATTTACCCAACGTCGACCCAATGTACCAATTCTCGTTAGAATGGTTCATAAATTTGTATATTAGCTCAATAGATTCTGCGAATAAATCGAGGGATTTGGATAAGCGATTAAAATTCCTGAAAGACACCTTCACGTATAATTTATATTCAAACGTTTGCAGATCGTTGTTCGAAAAGGATAAGCTGATGTTCAGTTTTGTTCTTTGCACGATGATCATGACGGCACAGAAGAAACTGAATGATAAGGAACTTAAGTTCTTGTTGACTGGAGGAATTACAGTCGATAATCCTTTGAAAAGTCCAGCAGAGTGGTTAAGCGACAAATCTTGGGATGAAATTTGTCGAGCCGAAGATATGCCAGCGTTCGTTGGGCTTGTGAAACATGTAACTGCTAATTTGAATCATTGGCAAAGTATCTACGATGATGATAATCCGCAAAATTTGGAATTACCTGCGCCATGGGAGAATAAACTTAATCATTTTCAAAAGTTGATCATTATACGTGTCCTGAGACCCGATAAAATTTTTGTGAGCATTAGTAAATTTGTAAGTCACGAATTGGGTAGTAAGTTTATACAGCCTCCGCCTTTTGATATTAGTAAATCTTACGAAGAATCGAGTTGCATTTGCCCTTTAATATTCATTTTATCGCCTGGAAATGATCCAATGGCGTCTCTGGTGAAGTTCGCGGAAACAAGAGGGATTCAAGACACTTTCAATTCGATTTCACTTGGGCAAGGACAAGGACCGATAGCACAAAATTTGATCGAACGTGGCCAAGAAGATGGTAGTTGGGTTTGTTTGCAGAATTGCCATTTAGCTGTTTCGTGGATGCCGATGTTGGAGAAATTATGGGAAACCATGGATTTTGGAAATACGCATCAGACGTTTCGTCTTTGGTTGACCAGTTATCCGTCCGATAAATTTCCTATATCGATTTTGCAGTACGGAGTTAAAATGACCAACGAACCACCAACAGGACTTCACCAGAATCTGCTAAGATCATATCAAAGTGAACCAATCAAAGAACCTGATTTTTATTCGGGATGCGTTGGAAAGGAATCAACCTTTTCAAGATTGCTGTACGCAACTACATTCTTTCACGCTGTTATTCAGGAGCGAAGGACATTTGGACCAATGGGTTGGAATATACCTTATGGTTTTAATGAGTCCGATTTGGATATTTCCATACAGCAGCTACAGATGTTTATTAACGAATCTGATAATCCTTATGAGGCCGTAACGTACTTAACTGGTGAATGCAATTACGGTGGGAGAGTCACAGATGATTGGGATAGACGATTAATCGTCACGATCTTAGCTGATTTCGTTAATAAAGATGTTGTCGAAAACATGGATTACATGTTTGTCGAAATCGGCGATTATGGTCTTCCCAGAAAAGACTCTTACGAAGATTACATCGAGCATATCGAGAATCTTCCGCACATCCACAGACCCGAAGTATTTGGTTTGCACATGAACGCTGGAATTACCAGAGATCTTCAAACCAGTTACAATTTGTTGGATTGCATGATTCATGTACAGAGTCAAGGCGTGGGTGCTGGAGATAGCGAAACAGATCAATTGTTGGTTATGATTAGCGCAGATGTATTATCGAAAATCCCTAAACATTTTGATTTGGAAGCTGCAAAAATTAAATTCCCTGTGCAGTATAATGAGTCTATGAATACGGTGCTGGTTCAGGAAATGGAAAGGTTCAATAGGCTTTTAAAGGAGATAAAGTTTTCTTTGGTGAATATACAGAAAGCGGTGCAAGGTTTGGTGATCATGTCTCCTGCGTTGGAGTTAGTTTCCAACTCTTTACTTTTGGGTAGGATTCCGGCAGCTTGGGCCAAAGTATCCTATCCCAGTTTGAAGTCGTTACCAAATTATATAGCGGATTTCGTTGATAGGTTGGATTTCTTGAACAAATGGTATATGGAAGGAAAACCGCAGAATTTCTGGTTGTCAGGATTCTTCTTTACTCAAGCATTTTTAACGGGAGCCAAGCAAAATTATGCCAGGAAATTTACAATACCAATCGATCAGTTGACGTTCGATTTTGAGGTGCTGAAAGTGATGAGTTTGGATTACGCACCGGCTGACGGAATTTACGTTTACGGTGTCTTCACTGATGGTGCAAGATGGGATATTCAAAAAGGCGTGTTGCGGGAACTTTATCCAAAGATCCGCAATGATTACATGCCATTAATGTGGTTGAAGCCTATTTTAGTTGAAGATTATACTGAGGAGGGAAGGTATAAATGTCCGTTATACAAGACTTCGGAGAGACGAGGCGTCCTTTCCACGACTGGTCATTCCACCAACTACGTTCTTCCATTTTTACTTGGGACGGATAAGAAACCTTCGCATTGGACCAAAAGGAGTGTGGCACTTCTGTGCCAACTTGATTAAAGTTTTTTACCAATAAAGATTTACACGGTTCTACCGATCAGGCGAATACATTATTTCTCTTTAACCCATCGTTTTTCCATCAACCATTGTTGTTCTTTGTCTTCTTCCTTTTTTTCTCTTCTTTTCGAATAATTGAATTGACTAAGAACGATCGATAGTCGGCGTTAATTTCTCGTTACGCGCTCGACGACCGAGAAGCGGGCAGTCGGCGTCGCGACGCTGCCGCAAGACCCGCATGTTTTGGCGCGTGCTGCCATGGCAACGACGTCGACGGCGCGTCCACGTGAATGTCGATGAACGGAACAAATGAATGAATTGTTGATGTGCGCTTCATGTCGTTGCATTTGTTTATCCATCTGATCATTATCGCAGTAAGTATTGTAACTAAATTATGATTATATAATGCTCACGATTATTAATTAAAACAAATTACTTCAACAAACATCAATGAACGATAAAAAACATATTTAACCACATTTACACTCAAAACAAATAAATAACATACACTTCCGTATTATTAATAAATATAATCGAACAATAAGTACTATATCAATTAAAATCATTACTTATAATAAATGTTAACGTTTGTTCATTTTTACCTTAAAAACTGCATTATTAGGTTCCCATTACTCATGAAAGTAAAATCCAAGTTACTCTAACAATGATAATTTCATTCAAAATTACCATTATGATTTATTGGAATTTTGTAATTCAACAACACTTTTTCGCTCAAGTCAAACTTATACATAAAAAGTAATTTAAATTTATTTATTTTTTTACTAAAATATTGCAATATCCTAAATATTTTGTTTAAAACAATAGCCAGTTTAAACTTTTAATTTAAAAATAATGAGAATTTAACGTTTTGTATTTTGTTTTATATATATACTAATTACCCATAAAAACAAAAGCCAATTTACGTTAACTATCATAATTTCAAAGTTTCTTAATTCTGACATTCTAGCCATAATCATATTTCCCCTAGCATCAAAAATAATCTAAATATATTACTTGTAATCGGAAAATACCTAAATCGCAATCATTTTTAAACCTACTGCATTGTAAATGAAGCAAAATCCTTGGAAAAATAATAAAATAAAAATGCTTCAAAGTCACAGCAAAATATGAGAATTAACATAATTGAAGAATAGTTTTTTTTTTCATGTTGTTGTGGAAAAAAACAAAACTTTATTTTATTTATTAATTGTTATTACTTGCATAAATATGCACCTACAACATGAATAGTTTGTAAATTATATCTACATTCTTAGTTGATTAGCAAAATAATTTTTAGAATATTGATAATTGACTATATTTATATTGAATTCTTTTTGAGTAATGAATAATTACTGATAAATGTATGTTTCATACAAGATTTATTTAAATGTTTACTTGTAATTATTAATAGAATGCAATTTAAAACGCTTTATTTTATTTATATTTATTAATAGGTTTTTATCTATGAATATCATATTGAAACTGAATGAGTTTACATTTAATCATTTACAAGATACTTGCATATGAGTTTATTCATAGGATTCATAATCTATTAATATCATTTATGTAATAATATCACATTATGATATTTCTTGATTTAATAAAATAATGAAAGGAAATTAATATAATATAATTAGTATGAAAATTAGATTCCAATATTAGATTCAACAAATTTACAAATTTTCGTGTTGTTTGATCATATTTTGAACATTTTATTAATTGTGTTAATATATATAAAATATTCAGCGAATTTAATAATCTTAAATATGAAACTAATTTTATAAATTTATACATTTATAATATTTACTGAAGAAATATGTTACATTATTAACAATTACAATATTCGAAAAATTTTTTATCAACAATATTTGCACAATTTGTTTTGTTGTTGTTGTACATTTTTATATATTTAAATATAAGCATATTTTAAATTATTTACTTTTCATGAATATGGAGCAAGTGGTTCTTATATATATAAATACATGACATTATCAAGAATACGCGTTAAATATCTCATTATTAACATTCATATTCGTTACGCCAAAGTAACCCTGACACAGATATAATAAAAAAGCGACAGAAAAGCAAGTACACGTGAAAAATACATATTATTAATAATAACAAGTAAACAAATATTTACTGAACAAATACAAAATTTCGTTAATGTTTTCGACAGGCTAGCAAATATTTAATCTTAATTATATTATTCTTAATATTTATAATGTACTGAAATAGCTTTTCAAATTTCTTCTAATTAAATTGTATATTGAAGGTACGATGTTTAGTGGCGTGTGGTGACAAAACCTTGGCACATGATGGGGTCAAATATTTTTTTTAATTATCTTTAAAAATCACAATTATTGGGTCAGTTATACCAATAGAAAGTCGGGCCTGGTCACAGTTATACCTCGGTTAGCATTACTTCTGATATTGAAGTTTTGATATAAAGAAGTCTGTACTTCCAAATCCCCAAATGATGAAAAACCTTACATGTTAGACAATGCTTCGAAATATCTTACTCATCTTAAGATGTTAGACATATGCATTTCTGCCCAAGTTGTGTTTCTTCCATCAAACATAACTTTCGTGATTCAACCATTAGATCTGAACATTCCTAGTGAGGCATAATTGTAATTTTCTAGGAAATATCCAGAAAAGAGAAATTGAGTACGAGATTTGATTGGTATGTCAAAGGATGAATGGCCATACAATCCTATCTTGATTCAGTTCACGTAGTTGTCTGATTCTGTTGCGTAGAATGGGTTTTTCATTTCTGGTCCCTCAAAGAGTTATAGCTTATTATCTGCATCGAACATTAAGTAATTTAATTGAAATAGAGGATAAAGAGAAAATTACATTTAAAACTTATTGGAAAAACCATTAAAAACCCAATTGAAAACATTTCTAGTTATTTGAATGTTATCCAGATGTCTCAATCAATATGTTACAAAAAGGAAGATGAAAAAAATGATAAAATATTATTGAATGAAGATGGTTTTTCCATAGAAAACTTAGGATTGTATTATTTCATTTATTTTAACAGTCTAAGAAAAAGTTCCACATATGATATTGAAAACGATATAAACTTGACAATTACGTATAAGTAATTGTTAAATAAAGTAAAAAAAAGCACAAACAATCAATTTTAGACTTATATTTGTAAATGTGATTTCATTTTGTATGTAAGTTGACTATTTATTTAATAAAACTTTTCTATGTTTGCAAATAAGCTTTCATATATTTACTATTGAAAACAAAGTTTTGCTTAAAGAAGTAGTTACGTAGAAGGTATCCTATTCGTTAATCTAAGTGTGACTGTACTATGGTAAAATGCCTTATAAATACTGAAATATACGTTTGTTAGAAAATACATGGGAAAATAATACATGGAACCTCGCTTAACGAGTTTAATCCGTTCCAAAATTTCCGGATTTTTACTCGTATAGTGAAACATATTCAAAAATACACATAACATGTATATATCTATAAAAATGATGTAGCAGGCGCGCAATCCGGTACTTCTCTTCTCATCATTATACGAAATGTCGCTCGTTAAGAGAGTCATTTTTCTTACAACTAATTTTGCTTGTTAAGCGATATGCTCGTTAGGCGAGGTGCTCGTTAAGCGAGGTTCCACTGTATTGTATATTATGAGAATGATTTGCTATTTAAGAATAGTTCAATGTAATATGATCATATTAATAATAAATGTTAACGTTCTTCACAACGTTTATTATTTTTGTGGATGTAAAGTAAAACAACTGTTATTTAGGCGAAGGCGTTCTATAAAAAGACGAGTTTCGTGAATCTACATTTCGTAAATATTATATTTATTATAACAGTTTGAATAGATAGTAGATATTTGAAATTACGGTTATAATAAGAAAGTTTATTGCATTCTAAATACATAATTAATGGATACCTCGATAACAGATATAAAAAAAAAGTACGAGTTATACAAATGAATATTGATTATTACATATTTCGACAGATATGATATGAATGCAGTTCGCATTCATCATCGGAATAAGCTTAATGGAAGTACATATAATCAATATTTGTTATCTACGTACTAGAACTCTATAGAAACTATATAATTATAAAATTCTAAATCTATATAATTATATTTTATAATTGTAATTTTATAAAAGTAGTATTTTTGGATTTTTCAATTAAAAATTGGTGAAAGGGAAAGTATGGATTTATTTGTGCGAATATTAAGGTGAGTGTGGCTTTTGAGTCTCATTATTATTCGAAAATGCATGCAATTAATCATGCAGAAAAAAAACAACAACAATGTTTTTAAAATATCAGCGTTTCACCAAATATTTATGCCGTGATAAATATTAATTACTTGATATGCATGTTAATCACGGGAGGTCATTTAAATAAAAAGTGCATAAATTATAAAATTAACAAAACAATACATGACAAATTAGAGTTTGTATCGATTCAAATTCGATGGAGAATATTTGCAAATATGATTATATATTTTTATTGTATATTAAATGTAATATAATACCGCTCGTATAGTGCGACTTTAATTAGTACGGATTCTGAACAAAATTATTATACTATATTTTCCTTAATAAAGTCTGTTTTGGTGCGGTTCTTTTATGGTAATAGGTAATATATAAATAATATGAATAAAATAAATATTTGCAGATTGGAGTTTTATTCACAAAGACATTATATACTCTAATATAAGTTTATTTGATTTTTTTAACAAATTTACAGTCTTATAAATGATCAAGGTAAATGAAAATATAAATTTGTTTACTTAAATGCACTCAAGTAAGAATGATGAAAATAGAATGGAACAAATAGAAGCAAGACTTGTATCATGCAAAGTTGCATGATTCATTGGTTTATTAAAACATCAAAGCTTTTGATAGGTGTTTTCATTGAAGTAGTCATTTAAATTGATTAAAATTAAAAAATATATTAAAACAATTAATAATGAAGTAATTTGAAACAGAATAATTATGTATGACAAAACTAATTAATCTAATTACAGAAATACCTCGAATAGTGCGGTTTCGATCAGATTAATTATACTGAAAGCAAACTAAATTTTATTTTAATTGGACAAAATAAAAATAAATTCTAAAAAAATTATATACCATTTTTCACCATATAGCGAAATCTAGATTTGTGCGGTTTATATATATTATTTATTGATGTATTTTTTGATATTCGAATTTTGTTATGTATTCAATACATATTTTTTTAATTAAAAAAATATGTTATTATTATATTGTTGTTAAAGTTCATTTTGTCTTTCAGACAAAAGCGCACAGACGAAAGCGCGCAGTAAAACAACTACTTCAAATGTACGCACGACATTCACTGTAATGGCTTAAGATCGGGAAGTTTGGTTTTAGATGTATCTTAAATACTAACAATTGGTGATAAGAGAGTATTACTGAATACGCCACTATTTATTGGTGTCAGGGTCATTAATAATGTTATATATGCGTATGCAACTAAACCTACATAATACTTACAATAATCAATAGATCAAGTCGCATTTTACAATTTTCTCTTTATCAGTTATTAACATTTTCTTACGGAAATTAAATGTCTACTTTGATCTAAATCTCAAATGCAGAAAGAACACATTCTCACAATTGCAATATTGAAATGGAAATATAAATCAAGATTAAACTGCAATTTCTAACATATTTTAAATTTAAAGCTATAAGTACTATATACATATTTTGCATAAAAATAATATGTGCTTTGTGGAAACATAGGAATTTTAGGATAAATATAATAAAACTGAATTGACGGACTGTGAAAAACAGGTACGGGAAATAGTTAAGTAACGTGTTTTCAAAATAGTATTTAAATATATGTATATATATAAAAAAAAACTAAAAAGTTAGTAATATTTTTCATAAAATAAAATTTGCTTAATGTTATTCACAAAGCTTATAATAGTCATATTTTATGTATTGTTGAATAAAATAAGGTAAAAATATTGGAGTTCATAGTATTTTGTATGATTGTAGTTTTTATGTACACTATTAACTTTAGTTTACTAAAATTAAAAAAAAATTCGCTATATACTTATTATAACATATTGATTAGAGCAAAAAGTCTTCTGAGTTGAAGTAGTTATTTTCTGTTTTAATATTCGTTTTGTAAGATTTAAATGTTACAACAAAAAGTAATTTTGTCTGCATATTATATATAATTATATGAAATATATTTCAGATGCTATTTTTGGAAGAAAAACGATGATGACATATTCCGAGCACAGCTATGTATCCACTTCCACGGCCTCCATGGAGGACGAGAGCAAAGAGAGCGGAAGGGAAGGGACGTCGTTGGCAGCTGTTTGGGAACATATCGTGAAAACGAAATCACTGCCAGGTATTTATAAGCAATCATAGCGCAATAAATATGAAATTGGGGCTACCAAAATTTTCGGGTTGGATGTCCTTGTTACAAAGAAACTTTCGCCTCGGCCAATTTCGCGTGTAAATATTATCCCCCTCTTTACGCGAAGGTAGCGAGGGTGGCTATATTTTTGGGGTTTGTAGGACACGCGACGGTTCGCCCCATTAAAACTCGTTATCGGCCAACCACATCAAGCACAAGCACACAGTAAAAAGGACCTGATACACATGAACGGCAGACTGAATATTTTATTATATAATTACAATTAGGAGAGGCTTATTTTCAGTTCGCAGCAGAACTATTTTAAATTATTAATTCATTTTATAGATGGATTGAATTTGGACGACTTTTTTCGGACCATTCACGAAAGGTTAAGGAATCCCGAATGGGAAGTCCGTCAGCATTCCTTGAGGTTATTGGCTGATACAATACCGCTGATTCCGGCCAATCAACTCGAGTATTATGTGAGCTCTGTATTAAACAGTCTGATTGCCAATTTGGGACATCTCGGGCCGGCAGTTCGAAAGGGAGCAATCGATAGTTTGAGGGCTTATATAAAATGCACACAGAATCCGGATGAAGTCATTGTGAATTTAATAGATACAGGAGTTGACAGATCACAAGAGAATCGCGTTCAGAATAACGTGGTCTTAGGTATAATCATAAGTATACCTTACATACTTAACAACAAGTTGAAAGATGATACTTTGTTGTACACCATTCACAAGCTACTGGATAAAATAGTTAAAGTGGTCCACCAGGAAACCGTGGTTAAATCCTTGTTGAGGATTAAAGAGGTAGTTGGTAAAGATTTCTTCGATTTTGCATTGACATCTCATCCAAGCTACAATTCTCTTAAAGACTTCGAAATGCTTTGCGAAGTCTATGACTTGCGCGGATTCAAATTCACTAAGCGAAAGGATTCAGAAGAATTGCGCGTTTTCAACTACGACGAGGATAAAGTAATATTGGAAACTGAAATAAAACTGGATTCGGGCTCCGCAATCACCATGAAAATCCATGAAGAAAAAATCGATGAGGATAACTGCGCTACGTTTCAAGTGCTACCAGATGACGAAGAACCTGTGAGAAGAACGCCGCGTCGCGTTAGATTCGGAGGTGAAATCGTAAAATTGAGGACACCCGATAGTGACAGTAATCTTCAGAGTGATAGTGAAGTAATTAGAAGTGATGGTGATTCGACCGTGCAAATAGAGTATATTGAGAAGGAGATTAAGACTACTAAAAGTTTGATCCCTGTTCCAATTAAGCAGACCAGATCAGCTCCGAGCAGTCCAGCTCGAACTAACCTCAAGAAATCCAAAGTGTTTAGATCTTCACCTAATATTCAATCGCCGAAAGTCTACACAAGATCTCGAATTCCCATTAAGCAGGGAAGAACTGTGGAAACTCAGATACAAATCAGAATACATGAGAATCCAAAGAAGAAGTGCGAATCTGAGTCTTTGAGAAGGAGGAATTTGGAGAAGATGGGAGCTGTGAGGACGAGGCGTAACAGTAGAGAGGATGAATTCAGTCCGACGCCAATTCATCACGAAATCCAAGTTTTGCACAATTTAACTCGAAGTCCTTCACCTTCTCGTGGAAAACCTGTAAATAAATTTGAAGAGGATTTTAAGAAAAGGGATTTAAAAGTTGATAATGTAACAGTTAATAGTGAAAATGAGGCGGTAAATAGTTTCATAACTTTTCCGACTGATGTAAGTAAAACATGTGAGGAGGAGAAACGCTCAAAAAAGCCGGCGCTTCCGAAAGAGCCAAAAGCACAAAATATAGTTATCATAGAGGATTCAGTGGCTGCACCGATTGAAGATAATTATTTGAAAGTTCCCGCTGCGAAATCAAAGGCAAAAGCAGTGGACGAGTTCAAGAGCTTCCACGTTTGCCAGGCGAAAAACGAATCTCCGATTCTGAACAAGGATGGGGGTGATTGCCTGACATGTTCCAGTTCCGGAAGCGACGCTGATGCATGGTCTAAATCAACATCCGTTGAAGGAACGATCCTGGAAGATCTCCAAAACACGGTAAGCAATTAGTCCTGGCGACTCGAATACATATCACGTAACTAGGTTAATTCGTGTAACCGCAAGAAAAGGGGTTGGAAAGTGACTCCTTTCCACGTGTTTTTTCCTTTCTATTTATTTATTTTTCAAAATTCTCTCCAACTGCCCATGATTATTATGGATTGCCGGCAAAGTGGGACACGCTCATAACGCTGCCGATTGCATAACTAAGTAACAATTTACGAATGGTAATCAGTAAATAAGCCGGCCAATTAATGAATATTTAGAGCGTGTAACGATAGCGTCAATTTTAATTAGCAAACTGCCGTTGGGCCACAAGGGAACGTTTTCGTGTACCGGCGCATCCACTATAATTGTTTTCGGGATTCGCGATCGAAAGTTACGTTTAAATGATTGAAAAGGAAAATCGAATCCATAGAAAAAAATAAACGATTCGGAAATTTGCATTTTTATGGTTTCTGCTATACCGGAAAAGATTGCGTCCCCAATTTTAATTCAAGTGGTCGCAAATTGCGGAAACACCAACAAATTTGCATCGTATAAAGTCCTCTGATTTTTTTTTTGTTTGCAAACTTTGACACGCGCTGGAAATACCGAAAGAAATGGCGAAAACTCATAAAGCGACGGATAATTGATAAATCAATTTTTGTTACCTATGAGAATCGTGTCGACGCACTTCACCGCTAATGGAATTATGTCAAACAAAGTTATGAATACTTTCACACATAGAAAAAAAGAAACGCATTCGAATAGAATGTTATAAATGACACGTAGAAAATATTCGCATAATTCAGGCCAATGTTTTGATTAATTTATTGTAAGAATATATTGTACTTATGTAGTAAAATATTTAAAATACTTGAAAATGCTTATCTTTTTAATACAAAAATTTGTAAAGTTGAATTCAATATAAGATATTTCCTATATAAACCTCATATTTTATATTGTAAGCTCATTCAATTCTAAATAATTTGTTTTATTATTTAGGTCAATAATACATTTCTGTTATTGAATTGATTAATCTAAGATTATTGAAGTTATAATTGAATTTCTTAAAATTTTATAATTGGAGCAAAATACTGAATTATTTAGAGCGAAGCTTTACTTGATAAACCTGCATCGTGCTCGTTTTACTATAATGAACTTTCAAAGATTTTACACGTAGTAAATATATTTTCTTATAGTTACAACATAAAAAGCTATGGTCCAGAATTTCAATTTATTTCTAATAAAATGTGTTAATATATTAATACATAAAATAAAAAAGATATTATTACAACTAATGTAAAAAAAAAATACTTGTGAGATGTAAATGTTACGTTTATTTCTGATAAAAGTTGTTAAAACGAATATTAACACATTTTTTATTGGTAGTTCGAAAGAAAATTAATATCGTGGTCTAGATTTCCTTTATTTTTAAATATGTAAAAACTGAAAATAGAGTAAACAGGTACAAAGCGGATTATGAATGCTAATGAAATTTAGGACAACGTGATTTAAGGTGTTTATGCACGCCACAATATGAAGGAATTGGATTCAGTTGTTTCAGACTAAAGTGATTAAATCTCTTTCTATACTGATTTACATCTGTTTCGGAACGAATATTTCTGACTTAAAAATTATCATTTTATATTTATGTTTTAAAAACTTATGATATTCATTTTTGTTATTGATTATATAATATAAAAAGAAATTTTTTTTTTAAATACGTTATATTTGAAATTCCAGAAGATAATAAGTAAATTAATAAATTTATAGTATTAAAAACAAAGAATATCTATTGCACATATAATAATTATTCATTAAAATTTAACTATATTAGAATAATAATATTTTGTGATTTGTACTTAATATGCATATTCAACACTAAACACTAGATTAGTTTGGAAGTATTTATAAATAGTCTATTTGTTGTGTAATGATAAAGTGTGGTGTACTGAATTATTACTAACGTTTAGGAAACTAATAATAATAATAATAATAATATCCTTCAATTCGGGTTAATATGTTCTATACACTATACATCATTTTCATGTACTATTTTCACCATAAGGTAAAAAATCATTATTTTCTGAATTAATAAATTAACTTACTTAATTATATAAATTTATATGTTCGCGTACAGAGACAACAGTCCTTTGGTAAAAATAACAACCAATAAATAAAATATATAAATGTTGGGTGAAGTAAAAAGTTCTGAGCATTTTTTCTCTTGGCCTATTCTTGTTGATCAGCTGCTTCAATCTGGTCAGTTGATGACAAGCTGGTCCGAATGTAGTAATTGACCCGACGGGAGCAGCACATAGTGGAGGATTTCCTTCCAATCCTACCAAACATACAGTAAAACCGGGCTTGGGTTGGCTCACCGCTCTTGGACCACGATCTTTTTCGCCTGCTGTTCTCGTATATGACCCATTTTTTATCGCTTCAAAAATGAGTTTTGCTTCAGCAAAGAATCGCAGGCATCAATTTGTTTTAATTCGTGTAGCACCCATACATCGACCCAATTCTTAGGACCAGCCTTATGCAAATGATTCCAAACGGTTTTCTGGCTAATCTTCAGAAATGTAATAAGTGCTCGCATTCCAGTCCGACTCGACCATTTCCATGATTTTATCAACATTTTCAACGATTGGCCTACATCTTCGACATCCATATTACCAGAATGGAAGCGTTGGGACTAACGCTTTAATCTTGCATTCGATACTGTATTGGGTTCATAAAAAACACAATTTTTTCTCTTTTTTACCTCCATTTTAGAATACTCTAACACACGCTCTAACGAGGTAAAAATGTTATCGAATATTGCAAATGATAATTTATTTATTTTTAGATCATGTCATTAAATAATTATAAGCAATCAATGAATGATGGTATAGAGTTTAATCATGCGATATCTTAAATATCCCTAATGAAATGTTTGCTTGAATAATAAAAAAAGAAGTTACGATTTAAATAAAAATAAATCGTAATTACCGTCTAATGACCTTATGCGTGTTCCGCTCCTCCAATAATAATTATCAGCGAGTCGATGGGTATGTAAAAAGGTAGCCGACCTGTCCACTTCAATTTATATATCCTTCGCTAGATCGAATGCACGATCTCATCCATATTAATGCACAATTAGAAAATATTTTTATTCGACACTAAACCGAAACGATGCTGTCATAACTATTAAAGAAAAATGTTAAAATTATAATAAAATTCTAGCGCAATTAAAGCAATAACAAAAAAAAAGTTTTCTGAATCACCATGGATCACGTACATAGGATTATTATACATTCAGCGCAAGAATAATTAAAATAATGGACGTTTGCATTTAAATGTTTTGAATAATGATTGCAAACTTTATGCGCGAAAGGTCGTAGCTTTCAACTAGTAATAAATCCAAAGGGCGCGCGTATTTTCGCAACGGAGATTTATTATTTATGACTTGCTGTGGTCCTTGGCATTTCCAAGAATTGTAATCGGGTTGATTAACATGGTTAATACATACTTTATGATCAATCACCAAAAATACATGATTTTAAACAGCAAGGCCAATGCTTTAAAAATAACGTGTTACCTTTTTTGGTCTAGGACGATCTGAGATCCAGATTGCGTGCTCTGGAGCGACTCAATAGGATCAGCAAAACTCCCGAAGGTCTCGAAGTCCTCGAAGGAAAGCTTGCTGTGCTTCTGGGAATCTTATTTACCGCAGAACAGCAACCGCTCTTGCAGAACGCGGCTGAGGTAAGAGAAGTCTTTATTTTTTTAAATAGTTGTTTAATTGTGCAGATTTTTAGCAAATCTTCGATACGATATTCAGCAACGTAAATCAACAGATATTGCAGCAAAGGCTACACCAGATTTGCTTGAGTTTAAGCCGATTGGGATCACCGAATGGGATTAGATTGGCGATTTTGTTGATGAAGAGAATTCCACCCGGATTGTTGGTGGATCAGCTGTTAACTGACGCGATTTCTGGAGCGAAGAGTTCGAAGGTGCTTGTAATAAAATAATATTAATTAATTTATGTAATTATTGTCTATTACTATTAGGTTCGTGAAGGAGCTTTGCAGATTTTGATGACAATTAGCAGAATCTATCCGAGCACGGAAATAAACATACCTAAAGCTACTACGGTGTCTGTTTTGGCTCTTAAAGACAAGAAGAGGAAAGTCAGACAAGCCGCTTTGGAGACTTTGGCAACTTTGGCACAAATAAGTTCTACCAAAGACGTATTGACCATAGCGGATCAAATGGCTCAAACCGATAAAGAAAACGAAGAAATCTCGAAAATCTTGAGGATAAGGTAAGAGTAATACATTGTTAAAGTAAGTGTAAAGTAAGCTAATTTAGTTGTTTTTTTAACTGCAGGTTATCGCGAAAGCAATTACCAACTGTGCATATGAACGGGGTTGTTCGATATTCGACGCCGCAATCTGATTGCGAAATCCATTGGTTGTGTCACGGCAGTAACGGGTTTAATAATCTGGATGAAAGTGGGAAAAGTCGTCGACGGTTTTACAGCGCTCAAAATACCGAAAAGCTTACAAATTGGAGACGCGACAAGATTTCTTCCGCTACTTATAATACGAAAGAAAGTTCGGAATCGGAATCAAATTCGGATCATCAGAGATTCGTTAATGTCGATAGGTTCATTAATGTGTCTCCTAGTGATAATTGGAAGCAGGATTTGAAGCTGAAGAGATTGCAGTTTTCGGAGAGTAAACAGGAGACGGAATGTTTGACTAGCTCTCGGGATACGGAAAACTGTGGTTGGACTGAAGGGGAGAAGCCCAGTTTTTGGATAAACGGGGTGGAAAATGGGGAGAGTATTGAGAGGAAGAATACAAGTGAGGAGACGGATTCAGTTAGTTCCGGATCTAATCAGAAAGTGAATTATTGGCGCATTAATAAAAGGCATCACTCGACTTTAGACGAAGGCGACAGCGATTGGTCTCAATCAATTAAAGTAAGTCAAATTGCAAATTTTATAATATTTTATACATTACAAATATAAATTTAGCGTGAAACAAAGATATAGAGTTATTGAAGTTATAGAATTAAAGTAATTCTACAACTTTTTTAAACATTCCGATAATTAAAATTATATTATGGTAATTTACATTATTATACTTTAAACTAATATAATCTACAGACTCAATACTTTTCAGTTACGCTTATCAAATTAATGCCCATAAAATATGTTTTATTTCAATAATTGTTTATTTGGGTGTAAAATGAAGTTGAAAATCTAATCTCATAAAAATACATTTATATATGCTTTTCTTTTGATTCAATATTACTATTTTCACTATTATAAAGTTTATAAACTTAAAATTTCCTAATATTGTGAAATAATTTAGTACGCAGAACTGGACTCTAGGAGTAAAGTTTAAGATACTAGTTTTAGAGTATTTTTATTAAATATATTGCTAAAAATATTAATATTATTACTTAATAAGATTTTCTGACAATATTATCCAAGAACCTATTATTTTTATGATATTTCAATTGTAATGTAAGGTTTCTTTTGAGCTGAGATTGATTTGCATACGTAATGAATGTTTCTCGGCTATTTACATAATTTGTTGCTATGGATCCAAGTGCGTATTGGAAATTATTACGCAGGTCGCAAAAAATATATATGGAAACTAATGAACGTACGAAAATTTGCGTGCGGCAGCGTAAAAAAAAATCATGACGGCGCGGAAGTGACGTGGACGTTAGCCGCCTCCGACCTGCGACATGCAATGTCAATGAAAGGGCATAACACTTTCCACTATGGTTTTATTCCGCCCCCGCATCGATCTAACATTTGAAACGCTGCATGGTGATTCATTGTGTGCCCGGGTTTTCGCGAAAATCGTCGCGAAAAGTGTTCGCTCAGAAGAAGACAAAAAAAAAAACAAAACGAGTAATCGTTGTTCAACTTCCGAAATTCAATTAGTGTTTGCGGTTTTGTGAAGAAAATGCTGTTCTGCAGGTTGATTAATTTGCGTCCTGTTGCACTAACTAATCTATACGTTGTAAGCTAGAGCGTTATCCTTGTCCTACTTTGAACAATTAACCTAATACCGTTACCTTCTTATATCGCAGGAAGATCCTTTGGCAAGGACGTCCACTACACAGGTTTGGGCGATTGACCCTTCCGTTTTTGGGACTGCTGAAAAGGTTTCAACCACAAATGGTTAGTATTATTTGTTGTCATCGCTTCGTGCATTTTTCTTTTATTTCGTTTTGCATTTCAGGCACTTTGCATCAAATGCTTATCGTCAATGGTAATGCCACGAAGAAAACTGCTTCCACGAATACTACAGCACAAAGTTACCGCGAAGGAGCTACGAACACATCTCCGATATTTAAGAGACGTCCTAGAGGACGATCGTTCTCACCACCAGAACCTCAGACTACCACATCCAGATTCAATGGCGTCATGCGATGGCAATCTGCTGAAAGTGAAGATTATGAACAAATCAGGAAGAGTTATAGCAGCGATCATTTAACTGCCAGAAGAGCTATACAAAGGGACACTGAATCGGCATCTTCATCAAGTAAGAAATAATATTCTCATGATTTCTTCAATCTTCCTTTGCTTAAATTATAACATTTTAGTATTTATGCATTATTATAAAAATATGTCTAATATTGTTATTTTATAAGTATGCAAGTTCCTTGAACGGTTACAACATGTCCTACAATTGAATTTAAATAAGAAAATGTAGTTCATATAGGAATCGATAAATACGTGTTACTGGTTGCCTGTATAACGATTGCTGTCTTCAAATAATTTTATATAGCATTTCCTATATTTTTCACGTAAAAAATTCTTATAATAATAATTTGAAATTACATTTATATTTTCATCAAAATTAAAAATATAAGATTTAATTTACTGCTTAATCTACTTAAACTGCTTTTAATGAATTTTAATTTTTATTTGCATCAAATAAAAAGACATCATTTCGTCACTAAATATAAATGAATTGTTATGAAACAAATTTTATTTATAACTACATTAGTGATGGAATTATTTTGAAATTGAAATAATTTATTTGCGAAGAATGTTTATATCACAACATAGTGGAATTCACTAAAATTCTTTATTTAACTTTCAGGTATTTTGAAATATTATTGGTACCTAAGAGTACCACTCGGGGCGGGAGTTTAAGAATAACTGAAATGATGATTTAAACATGAAATTTTACAATCTTCGTTTAATTTTTATTTGATAACCAATAACTACATTTTTAATAAATTTCACCATATATATATCTAGATAATATTTTTTTAAAGTTAAGTCGACTTTCAGTATTAATTTGAATTAAATATAATTAGATTCAATATTTCATCACATGATTTTCTATTTTTTCATTCTGCATAATACAAATGTTAAAACTGATATCTAGATATTTATCTTAGGATTATTATTGTAACACAACGTGGAGCGCACTTGCAGCGTTGTCGATTTTACCACGTTACATTATTATTAAGAAATAATTCTAAGTCAATACTACATTTTGATAACATTATTTTCATTTCTATATTTATTTTTATATATAAATCTACTACCTTTGTAATTCGAACATTTTGTCAATACTATATAATTATCTAAATTTGTAGTTACTATTAGAGGAAGTATACGATCATTAAATAATTCCATTACATTGACTTCTCGTAACAAATATTTAAATAATCTCATATTATTGATTGTTTAATTATATTATAGGTTCGTCGATGAGACAACCTGGAAATTGGTATGGCGATTTCAGATCCGGAATTCCGGTTCCCGTCGCTGAAGACCGGAAGTTTAGGATACGACATAGGAAAACTCAGCACCGACATAAAGGACCCATGACGATACCTTATCGATACATGTAAGTGTTATTTATATTTAAAATGTTCTTTTGAGAGATTAAGGCAATATTATTTTTAACCTCTTAAAGTCGAACGATGCACATTCACGATTTACCTTTTCTATAAGTATTTTTTTTTTGGGATGGAACACATTATCGTATTTTACATTAATTTATATGGTAAAAGGTGTTTCGCTTAACGAGCGTTTTGCTTTACGAGTAAGTAAGTAATTCTGACATCCTGGAACGGATTTTGCTTGTTAAGCGAAGTGAATCATCTTCTTCATTTGAAAGAACGAACCTGGAATTCTCTTTATTATTATCTTATGGCTTTTTCTTCTGGGACATTTATGCAAGAGTTTTTAAACTTTGCACAAAACAAAAGTCAGACATAATATGTCTCAACACCAGTTTAGAAAATGATGTAACAGGCGCACAATCCGGGAATTCTCTTCTCTCATTCCTTATGCGAAAATTCGCTCGCTAAGCGAATCATTTTTGTTTTGCTCGTTAAACGAATTACTAGAGGTGCTCGTTATCAAAGTTCTACTATATGTATAACAATATAGGAAAAGATGAAGTTATTTTCAATAATATCTGTTATCACATTTTAGTGATTTAATTAAAATAATTTAACTACAATAACGCATGACGTAAGTAACATTCAAACGTCAAGAACTCAGCTTATTAACAACATTAATTTCTTCAATATTCATTTCCATACTATTTTCCGTAAAACGTGGTATGAAGGTATTTCAAAAAAGAAGGTCTGTGTGTATAATTCTCTTTAAAATGGAGGTTGCATACCCTTTTCCTTTTTCGAATATACATGTTATCTTTATTCAATAGGGAAGGATTCCATGTTGCAATTTTCCACTGTTCAAATTGGAGAAAATCGATGGGAGGAAATTGTCGTAGTACTACATCCTGTATTGTAGCACATCCTTTGACGCAACAGTTAATGACCATCGTAATATAAAGCTACAATAATAGTACAGTGGAACCTCGCTTAATGAGCATCTCGCATAAAGAGCATTTCACTTTACGAGAAAAATAAATTTGCAAAAAAAATGACTCCAAAATGGAACGCATTATCGTATATTACATTAGTTTATATGGGGAAAATTGTTTCACAACACGAGTGAAAATCCGAATATATAAATAAATTATTATAAAACTTACTTGTTACTATTCTTCTGAAATCTTCTCAATGTCGAAATTAGTTCAAATAGTTTTCGAAATCTTTAACTTCGATTATCACAAAATTTATTTTCTTCGAATGTCAATATAAATATAAAAAAGCACTAACACAGGCACACTACCATCAAAGTTTTATTATCGCAAAATACAAATTTGGAAAAGTTCCGAATGATACCGAATTCATCCGAAATCAGATAAAAAATTTCTTCTCTTTTCCACGGGGATTGCTTTATACCAACTGTAATTAAAATGAAATATGTAGAACAACCGCATCAAGTGAGGTAACTCCTATTTTCAAAACATTTTTTTGTCGTAATATAAATATTTTCCAATTTTATAATGATCATATTATAAATTGTAATATAATTAAATTATATAATGTTATTTAAACTTCAGTAATGTAAAATTCTATTGATCCTTCCAAACATTGTTTGTTCGTCTTCTTACATGGCTTTTCTAATTTAATTCACGTAAATATACTTTCAAATTGTTTCAACATTGCATTTATTTCTATATTTTTCATAAATTTTCTATCTAGATGCATTTTCATAATATAGAAGACCTGAAATATTAAATTCATATTAACTACATAATAACTTTTTTATGGTAGTTATCAAACTTTTTTTTTGTAGAGGAGAGGAAACCTACTGTGGGATTCTTACCGCACTAAAACCTCTCCTCTTCTTCGTTAGTTATCAAGTTGTGTACATTAAACTTATAATTAAGTTTAGTGCGTAAATAAAAAAAAACTAAAAGTACACCAATTACGAACTGTAATTCGTGCTATGATTTCTAAATTTAGAGGCAATAATAAAAGGTTCATTTTTTATAGTAACAAGCATATTAAATTAAATTAAAGCCTTGATACCATAAAAAATAATTAAACAATATTGCACATATTTATATATATTTCCTTCAACCTTCTACCTCGATGTATGACTTGAATTTTGAATGTATTAACTAATCAATATTACTAATTATGCTTGTATTAAATTTCAAAATAAAGGAGGTAAGAATACATAAATTAGAAATAATGATTCAGAAAATTTTACTGGTAATAAAATGATTCATTTCATCCATAATCAACCTCTTAGACTATATGAAAAAGCTTTTTCAAGAATGATTCAAGGATAGTGCATATGTTTGAATATTAAATCAAAGCAACTTGTTGCAGCAAAATATGCAGTTTGGAAATACCCAAATCGATGAATTGATTTTATTTTCTAAGATTGTATAAATCTACTATATTTATATGATAAAATCTGACAATTGAGATGAATTATTCTTTACTTAAATCTTAGTTCTACTAATTAGTTAGATTTGTGATAATATTATTATATGTTATTATATAATTTAAAAACTTGTATTCAGCATTGTTAGTTTAATTATGTTATTGTATAGAATGAAGAAATGATATTTGCTATAAGAAAAGTGGTCAAAGTTGAATAGCACAGAATACCAAGGGAGATGTAAATAGGCATGGCGTGAGCCAATAGTGTTTTCTATTATTTACAGTGAGGCATTATTTCGTGAAAATTTAATACACTTCTGCGGTTCAACGTCTTCTCAATAAGAGGTGAAATATAATTATCCACTATACATACATGTGCCAGTACGTTTTTTTCTCTCTCTCTCTCTTTTCTTACACTTCCAATTAACTTGTCCTCGTATTTCACAAAATTACTCTCTAAGAAATTATCCCTATTCAGTGTATGCACGATACGTACATAAATCGATGATGGATATTCTTTAATGTTATTAATTATCGGGCATATACACACACACAATACGTGTACGGAGATAACTAGAAAACTTGTTTTGCCTCTTTCCAAATGCATTCAGTCGCTTGTTTTTAAAGCGATGATGTATGAAATCCGTATTTAATATCTACTTATCTCTTGCGTAGTTAAAGTATGCTAATTTCATGTAGTTTTGCATATACGTTTTGATGAAAGTTTATATTTAGTAGTTAAGTTTTTCGTTTGAGACATCGACTGTCATTAATAGCCTTAATTAAATATATAATAATTAGTGGACATCTAATAAATACATGTGCACATGCAGTAAAATTAGTTTATAGATACATATAAAAATAGAGTTGTATTGTATTTACATATCAAAAAAATTTTTTTTGACAATTTATGAAAGTTAAGCAATGTAGCATAATATTATTAAAACTTGGAGTGTTTATCACTTGGGATTAATTGATAAAAATATAAATACTAAACATTAAACTTCAAGACATTCATCTAATATAGACATATAACAGTTGAAGTATCTTGAGGTGAAAACTTCCTAACAAAGATCATTTCTACCGTTTATAGAAAACCCGTACTAAGCGAGGTATTTCTCTATATTGACTTGATTTATAATTTAGTTATAACGATAATCTATAAACAGTTAAAAAATCTAGGTACCTTTCTAACAAATACAATTAATATAAATACTATTTATAAAAAATCAACTATCAATACATGTGTATACTTATTTGGATGTATAGCCTTGTTGTAATAAAATCTGAATGTTCTTATTGATTTTAACGTAAATCCGATTATGTAAGAATAAGTGTTATTATTCTTATGGAGAAAATTGGTTCGAGCTATTAAGGTCGATGGTTCGAATTGTTCAAAATGAAACGATACCTACACAATAGGTCATTGTGTTTGCACTTACTGGGTCACTAGTACACTATGAATACTTTAAATCTTAAAAATCTATATTTGATAGTCGTAAGTGCTTGTATATATAATGTATTTTATAATTAGTATGATATTACTAATTCTTGAAACGAATAAAAAATATAAAAGTATTTATACAGTAAACGATAAACCTATTATAAAAGGCTATTGACCATATCTTTCTGTTCCTATAATATTATTATTACTAAAATTTAAATATATTTCTTTAATTAACATTTTTTTATTTGCATTTATAAACTGAAATAAATATTATATTAGTAATTATAAATTTTAGTTTTATCATTCAAAATGACTTCTTAGCAATCTTCCATATAAAATTGAATTGAAAAAGGACTGTTTTCTTCTACGAACCAAAATATAATCCACTTTTGGGAAAAATAGTGCATTTTCATTTTTTTAACTTAAAAAGGTCATAGCTTAATTTAGAAACAATATTTGAACCATATAGTAAAAATTCTAAATCTAATAATAATAATATTTATTAGTCACATTGCGACCAAAGGCTAAAATCGTATTTTTATAGTAAATTTTATAAAAAATAAAATAAAATTCTCTTAACCATAGGTCTTTCTACACTGTACATTTTATATTTATTTAGTAAGTTTTATTCCAAAAGAAAAAGAACATTTTCATTTTAGTAATAAAAAAAATGCAATTAAGTTTAATTGACAACTCAATAATTATAACAAGTATATTATACCAGTATATGTCAATGATATTTTGTTCGGGAACCGAAATGTTCGAGTACTATCTATAGTGAAATTAATATAGTACTAATAATGTGATCTTCATTTTATAACGTATATCATTATTTTTTTTACCATTTTAAAATATTTATTTCAAACAACTGAGCTTGTATCTTATTGAAATAGTATCAATATTATCACTTTTGTATATTTGTAGATTAAATTTGTGTTTAAGTAATTAAAATTAAACACAAAAATGAATAAATGAATATTTTTATTATCGTCAAATAATTAATTTATTGAAGCGTAGAAATTCATTTTCAATTCAATTTATATAATTAAATTAAATTTAGAGACGAAGCTTGTTTAGAAATAGTAACACCAAGTACGGTTTTATTTTTAACACTGAAATCATTAAGATGTATATCGAATATGTGTGTAGATTCATCTATGGAAATTCATTATTTAAATTTCGTGTATTTCTGGAACGGACGCCTCTTTACGTATTTATTTTTTCCCTTTGTTATTCATGCTTTCTGCATTGAAAAAAAAATCCTTTTACCTGACCATTATTAACTTTCGCAAAACACGTTGCGTGCCAACTGCGAAGTGAACTTTTGCGATAAATTTGTGTGTATTGCTTAGCTTAGGTGTGTGTTGTGTCTGCATAATATGGGGAGAGGTCAAACAACGCATAGATTATAAGTGTATATGCTATGGGTTCATTTCTTGGCTATGCATGATGGTCGATAAAACTAGTGGGTATTTCTTTGGCGGCGGCTGTGGCGGAGGCGGCGTGAGAGACGGCAGCGGTGGCGGCGGAAACACGGACTGGTCTGGTTTGTAGTAGCGGACAATCAATGCGCCACTAGTAATACTCGATGACCAGTATCAAGTTGGACACTATATCAAACACGTGCGTACAAAACACCCACATCATGATGAGCGACGCCAATGACAACAATCCTCTTGTTCTTCTTCACTTCGAGCTTCGTGACTTCCGGTGTGCACGAGTGCAAGTTTGAGAATGGTGACTGTTAGAAATCAAGCGATCCTCGAGCATGAGTTACAGACAAATCATTGAATCTGCTCCTAAGTTCGTTGTTTGAAGTGTTCCGCTCCGAAGATGCTGTGCCACAGCGCGTACGCTTTGGGTAACAAGAATCCATGGGGATTGCGCGAAGATGTTACAAAGACGTGGCGAAATCCTTTCAAATGTTGCTACAGGATCTTCAGGCCCACGAGGGTTGCCGCTCTTACGAACACCGAAACTGTCACTACTCCAGTTGTGTCTGTTACAATTCTCCCATCGGATATCGAGTATGTTTCAATTCAAAAATAATAATAACTATAATTTATAGCATACATTAATACAAACAAATGCATAATACATGCAAAAACCAAAATTATTTAAAAAACACGAATTAATCACTTGGATTTCTAATGAAAAAATGTTTAACTACTAATTTAATTAGTAACAAAAATAGTGAATTCGTTGGAGCAACAAAATACAAAAATATAATATTTAATTAATTGTTCAAAAAATACATCCATACGGTAAATATAAATACAGCAATAGTAGCATAGTACTGTTTTATATCGGACTAACATAAAAATAAACCGCACAAAAAGATACTTGATAGATATTCTATAAAGTGGATAATACCGATTATTTATGTATGAAAAACATAATTTTGTTAATTATTTTTTCAGAATTTATTTGAATTTTGCTCAATTCATTATTTTGTTATTTATGAATTATGTAAAATTCAATGTTTTCTTTAAATTTTCATTGGTCAAATAAAAATAAACTGCGCGGAAAGATTTATTTGCTATTATAATAATAATAATAACATTTATTGCAACAAAACATTCTTATGTTATTTTGTAGTATGGTACAAACTCAAGAAAATTGAAACCAAATTGATCTGCTGCAAATGGTATTATAATATTACTACTATAACAAATATTATAATTATTTAGAATAAGCTATGAATGATTTAAAAATTAATATAAATAAAGAAGACATTAATTTATTTTTTATAAAATATAAATTCTAAACTATAAATGATTAATGTTCATTTCCCATCAGTAAATTATTGAACACAGTACAGTCACTACATTTTACTTTATATTATTGGTTTTAAAACTAATAGATATAAAACAATACCTTGTAGTACCGTTTGAAAATTTAAAACAAATTAAAACAAACTAAATTTTAAATTAATATGTTTTTTATATAGTCGAGTCTCTTTTAATGTGGTTTAATTGTAATCAAGTAACTGAATCTTTGATTAGTCCGTTTTCAATCAGTTCGGGATATTTGGTATTTTGAACTAATCCAAATTTATTTGATTTAAATTTTAGAGTTGGTAATATATATTGAAAATCAATATTAATAGAAGTGTTCTAATAATATTTAAAAGAAAAAATGTAAATAATTGTGTTTATTGTTTGTCTTAATATTGTTGACTTCAGTATTAGAAGTGTATCAAAGGCGATGCATTATTGAAGATTTGCAACAAGTTGGTTACTACAAACAGTGCACGCTAGAAAAATCTAATTTCATATTCTAAGTGATACTTTGCATATTTATTGTCATTTAAACGTTTGATAAATTTACTATCGCAGGAAATAATTTTATGATAATTACCTGTAATTAGACAATAAATATATTGCAAGATATTTTATAAAATTAAAGTATTAATAACTACTACAGTATTTTTAGTAGATTCTTCTACTTTTGATTTTCATTTGAAGTACTTATATATAATCTTGATTTGATGTGCAATCAATGTCAAATAATCTATCTTAGGGTAGAAACCAGAAATCTATATCCGATGTACTCGTTTCATCATATAATATGTTACAGTTGAAAAGTTTAAAAACTGTCAACTTTTTCAATTTGTTACGCCAAAAGTAATCAAACAGTGAATCAATTTTTATTAGTAATCTTCTTCTATTATATTTTAATTCAGGGTAAGTCACTAAAAGCTTAAAAGTGAAGTTTAATACTTGTTAACCACAAAAGTTAACTGTTATTAACTTCAACTATTACTTCTCATGATCTCATAAATACATATCTATTGATGCATATTCTTCTTAGTAACATAAGGTGGTACTAAGAATTTGATGAATAAATAAATAAATTGTTAATATATTAACGAAGCAAAATCTAGTGCAAATTCTATAAAAAATCATTAATCTTACTACATACATTTTTTTTTTCTAATTCAGCATAAATGACGAAATTGTACTATTATTATCCATGATTTCAGATAGCGATGTTAATCTAGGTGGAAGGTAAACGTTCAGAAATTATTCCCGAAACGAACGTATATTGTGTGTTTCCCAGTTTTTTTTATTGCCAGATAATTACCCTATATACCGATGCAACGGTTGGATACAACAATTTCCAAAGCGGCTTATAAATAATAAATGAAATTCTCACGACTTTCAATCGATTTTCGTGCCATAATAAATGTAGATCATTTCGTGGAAATTGCCAAAGGGTCTCGCAAAATATCTAATTACAGCCAAACAAAAACCCTTTCTTATTTGATTGATTATCGCACTTAATGTTAAGAATTTCCATCAAAACTCCTACTTTCATTGTTTGATAAAGAAAAGGCGATGGTACAAGAATAAAAAAAAATGAATCGATTGTTCCTAAAAATAAAAGTTTTTATTATGTTTGAAGTACCATCAGGGTATAATCGTGAAATATTTACAGCAATTTCTAGATAATTCTAAAATGGTCTCCAGAGAATTGAAATAAGAGCCAATTTCCAACGATGCGTGCAAGTCCGTTATAAAATGTTTTGTTTGTAGCAAGACCTTAATCTCTGATAAAATGCTAATACCCATGCGAAAATAGAACGGGAAAAAAGAAATAAATGCAGGCGTATTTAATTATGTAGGTCGAATTTAATGATATTTTCTGTTTTTGTAGCGTGAAATCACCGAGTCCACTCTCCACGCCGGAAAAGATTATTGCTAGACCTGAGCAGGATAACATCTTGGATCGACAACCTCAATCATCTGGAAGTGAATCTTCCGGTTACTTCACGCCACCGCCGGAACCGGAAATTGAAGAGCGCGCTGTCACTCCACTGTCCAGTCCCAAGGAGTCGACACCTGTCATTTCACTGCAATCAACCCCGAGCAAGGATAATTCCTCCGATATAACGCCTATTCCAAGTCCCATCGAAAGTCCTAAAAGAGATGTCACACCTACGCCAAGTCCAAAGCACCATTTCCCCTCCCAACCAGCGACGCCGAAGAGGATTTTCAAGAGACACGCGACGTCTACTAGTTTGGACGAACTTGCATCCACCATCAAACCAAATCCTTTGAGTGCAATGAGCAGTTTCGATGCCGTCGATTTCACGCACATCACCTTCTCCGAACATCGAGAACTCTCCAAATCTGAAGTGGACATCATCATCTCCACGCAAGTTATCAGGAAAACCACGAACTCTGCTCCAAGTTTAAACGAGATTCCGAAGACGAGTCAGGAACCCGAACCTGTATTATTACCAGGATCGATACCAGACCCTGACCCAGAACCAGAACCGCAATTAGAACAAGAACCAGAAGTTATACCTGAACCGGAACCAGAACCTGAAATACAGGAAGTAATTGTTCAACAGCCGAAACCGCGATCGTTGGCCACAGTTTCTGCGAAGAAATCATTATCCTATCGCCGAAAATGCAAATCGACAAACGTAAACGTAGTGAGTGATCACGTTTGTCCATTCGCAAAACCGAAAGAGGCTCTGAACGAAGTTATTTCGCAACTGGAGAGCACTGAATGGGAAACGACGATGAAGGGTTTGCAGGACTTCGTACGCTTGATTAAGTTCCACAAAGAACTCGTTGAAAATAACATGCACAACTTGTGCGTTTTACTAAGTAGACATATACGTAACTTGAGATCTCAGGTGGCAAGAAGTGCTTGTCTAGTTACATCTGAGTTGTTTAGTATGAGCCGAAGACCAGTTGAGCTGGAGTTGGACGAGTTGGCTTCAGCGCTCCTTCATAGGACGGCCGATACCAACAAGTTCTTGAGGACCGATGCGAACGCCGCTTTGGACAATATGATTGCAAATCTATCCATACCGAAGGTCGTTAATGTCATTTCACATCGAGGCTGCAATCATCAGAATGCCGTAGTTCGCTGCGCCTCCGCAAGACTTCTATGCCATATCGTTTCAAAGTTAGGCGCGGAAAAGATCTTCCAATTGCCGAGAGACACAAGGGATAAAATTTTGTTGGCAGGCGCCAACTTGCTGATGGAAGGAAGCTTGGAAACAAGGTAAGATAATTGCGTCGTGCATGCGATTTAAGTGCTCAAGTGTTTGTTTGTTTTGCAGGAAACATTCGAAAATGCTTTTGGGTCAACTGAGTGGACACAGCCAGTTCCAAAAGGCCTTGACCGAAGCCGTACCCTCCAGTGTATTGAGGCACATCGATAAGACGTTAAGGACGATAATGTAAAAAAAACTAAGATTTGGTGTCGTTCTGAATGTTTTGCCACGTCGCAAAACAAATTTACGAGCGATATAATTTTGTCGTCTAATCGATTTACATCATTCTAAAATACTCAAATGTAAGGTATTGCGTTGCAGCCACGTATGAGATACAAGTGTTAGTATATAAGAACAATGAAACTGCTGTCAATTCCAAATATAACTTGGAACATATGTATGTCTCATACATAAATAGTATGAATACAGTTGGTTAAATTATTCCCTTAAACAAAATATATTGTATATACAGTTCATTACAAAGTACATAAATTAGAATCGAGTTAATTATCTTAAAATTATATAATTTTATTGTTATAATTTTTATTTTAAAATGGATGAAATAGATGAAATAATTTATATTAATCATATTTTATATACATTAGAGAAAAGCAATGAACTAGTTTTCATTTAGAAACGCATTAGTCAATTTGTAAATATATTTTTAATCAAACCTACTTAGAAAGTTTTCTACATATAATTGTTTATTTCACTTTCACCAGAATATTGTATAGGAATAACTTTTAAAATATTAATGTATATATAAATTACATATTTGTATAGAATAAATTAATTGAATTAATTTATGTTACAACAGTGTAACAAACACACCAATTGTGAAACAAAAACTGCGTAAAACTGGAAAATAGTTTAGAAGATTATATGTAAGTAATAAAAATAATATTTATTGTATATAAACGAATATGTAATAGATTAATTTTATATGAATTTAAACGAATCTAGATTTATTGAGCATAATTGTTGGTTGCTGATGAAATTTATTTATTTTTTAATTTGCAAGTAATAAACATTTATTTTATAATCTATTTCATTTATTCAAATATAGAAATATTTTTTTGGAACTAATAATTAGAACTTGCTTTTCTGTAAAAAAAAAACTGTTATATTGTATCCAAAATGTATATAATTTTGTTTAGTTCTATATATTTATATTGCCTTAGTGTCTATTAAAGTTAGTTATGTAAGTAATTTAAAACTGTCCGTCCGCACCAAAAGAACAACTGTAAATACTTTAAAAGAATCAAATTTTATATTTATTTAGTACATAGTAAGTGTTATAAGATTTTGATAGATTAACTTTTATTTAACGATATACTCTGTTACATTTACAACATATATAAAAAAAGAATAAACGTATTTTTAGTTCTTCTCGTGGACTTATTTTAGAATTCGTTTTCTGCTGTGCCTGGTGAATGTACGTTTTATAAATTATACGTCTACTGTATTAATCCTATCAAAGGCGTCGCTCCAATGGAGCCGACTTTAACTTTTTCGGTTTTGACACTCTCACAAAAGGCCCCACGCTTGAATAATCTGGGTCTCATATGCATTGAGCAATAAATAAATAAAAAAAAAAAAACGATTCATTTCATTTTACTTTATATATGTGTATTATTATTATTGTTTTTGTTGTGTAGATTTAGTTTGTTGTATTATTATTAATCATTTCTATTTACTACATGCACTTACACACATCGTTTCCTGTTGCCATCAGACAATTAGCAAGAGGTAACATTGGTTTCCTTAGGAACTTTTGGTGAAGGGGTGAAGAACAATGGCGTTTCCATGCGGAGGATTCTGGTTATTAAATATTTTATTCGTACATGGATGATGGAATTGAAAGGGGATCGCATAATCCTCTTAATGTGGCAGACGTGTTTCGCTGGAGAAACCCTCTTTTTTCAGATAATAGACACCTGGGGGACGGTGTTAATGCGATCATAACAAGCCTTACGTGTCGACTTATTAAAAATATATTATCCGCATATACACAGATACACACATGGGACCCTGATCAGGCAAGAAATTTTGAAGTGGGTGGGAAAATATTGCATTCGTAAAGAATAGAAGGGAAAGGATTATTAAACCTTTACTTTTTCAAATGTAACTTTAATAATAATATTAGATCCATCGATAATCTTGTTGTTGGTTTCCAGTAGAAAAGTTACATTTTTTTCTGTAATCCAAAGAAAGGGAAGAGACGCGTGCATCCTTGAGTACAAAAAATATATTGTATGAAATGTTAAGATTTTGCCAGGTTTAATTTAAAGCTATTACTTTTATATTTGTGAAAGAACTACAAAATGTATTGGATTAGTATCCATTATATAATATAATATATAAAATAATAGATTAAGAAAGTTTAGTAAACTCTTGATTTAAATTCAAATAAATAATAGATTTATCCTCGAAACCATCAGTTGTGCATAAGAGATATTTCTTATTGTAAACATAATTGTAAATCTTCTGCTCATTTATTATAACTCGAGACATATTAGGAATTTCCGGTTCTTAATTCAAAAGAAATTTTATACCTGGATTTTAAATGCTTCAAACAAAATATTCGCATACTAAATCAAGGAATAACATATTAACCGTTCTTATTATAAAATAGATATTTTTATCAACTCAATTTTCTTATAAAATAAAGATTTTTTTCTAAAGAAATGAGTAAGTTTGGTTGCATATTATCTAGTCTGTTCATCAAATATCACAACTATCACTATAATATGTTAATTATTACAAGATTAACGCATTGAGTGTATTAGCAATTGCATAACAAGGGTATGCAATCCGGAAGGGACCACGTGGGACCAGATTTAGGCTTGGCATCTCAGGGCCTTTGGATTTTGAGGCCCCGGGTATAAATATCAAATGGTGGTATTAAATATACTACATGAATTGAAGGACAACTTCAATGATAATTGGGGGCGACATCCCAGAAGAAAATGTGAAAACGGGAGAGTAACTAACACTGTTTATGGGCCCCAATTTCGTGGGGTTTGAACATTCTCTCGATTGACCGGTCGTAGCGACGTCTCTGTGATACCTAAAGAATGTTAACCCAAATCCTACGATATTTTTTTGACAATTCACAAAAGAATTCAAGAATAGATATTTTATTGCTAAAATGCCGATAACAAAGACCACCCACCAATTATATAAGAAATAATCTCTCATAACATAATTGTCAACAACATAATGTATGATTAAAAGAAGTTTCAAAAATAATAATAATATAAATAAAGTTTGCAGAAACTTTGCTAAATTTGAATTATCATTGCTTTCACTTCAATCTGATCAATTTTTTTCGACTAGAAATATTAAAGTTTAATAATAATATTTATTGAAACTGTTAAACATGCCTAAATACAATTAAAACTTATTTATATAGTCATAACAAAATACAAAAATTATAATTAATATTAAAAATAGACCTATTTTTAGGTTTTTCCACTATATCCAAGTATATTTTATACATTCTGAGTTATTAACAAAAATTTAACTAGTTTACTTTTAATTTTTAATGATTATAAAATGATAATTAATTTAATTATAAAATTTGAACATAACTTAGTAAAATAACATTTGAACCAAATGCGATGTTGGTTGCATATATAATACAAAAATAACTATGAATTGTTGAGTATTTTTACAATTCTTTATTGCATTTTCAATCTAAAAAGAATGCTCTTTACCAATATTTTCAATTTGAATTAAGATAAACATAAACAACATATATTTATTAATATATAATAGTGAAGATGATCATTTTATATATTTAATGTTCATAAGAATCATTGTTAGCATCAGATATGTGTTAAGATATTTTTCTTAAAAAGATATTAAATATGCTTATTTAGAGAAATGTAATCAATAAATATGAAAAGTGTTTAGTTACTATTAATTTATGTAATGTTAAAATATATAATGTATCTTTACAATACAGGATAATTTTAAATATAATTTTGAAACTAATATAGAATAAGTTAAGTGTTTTTAATATATCATGTATTTTATAACACAATCTCTTGGAGTTACTTTAATATACAACACTTTAATATTGTTTTCATTTAACAAAGAAAGAGCAATTTGAAAGAGGCTTACAAATTTAATTACATAAACACAGTAGTAAAAGTATTATAAAAGATCCATTTATAATAAAAATGCACGTGTGTTTTATGTGAAAAAATGTAAATGAAGGAGTTATTAAATATTTTAACGTGTCCGATGAAAAGGACTAGATGGATTAGATGTAACATTTGATGGCTGTCACCGCTTAGATTTGCATAGGAAATGGATTGCCGACAGTGGAGGAGAGGAAGTTATGTAAATATTTGTCGGCGCATAAATCCACCCACCTTCTGTATCTTTTGACATACGCACACATTAATGTGGAGCGTACACAAAAGGAACGCAATGGCGTCGCGACGCCTCGCCCATTACATTATTAAAAACACACTCATTTACACACGAATTGTGCTTGGATGTTTCTAACGGATTACATATTTCCGCGATGATTTATACACACGATTACTTTATTTTTAGTTATATTATATTACACGTAACATAATTAATTGTGTCCAAATCATAATCAAAAAGCAAGTAAACAGGACCTTTGAAGTTTAAATGGTTTCATTCGAAAATCAAACTTCTTTCTCTAATTATATATAAAAAGAATGATAAAAACAATTTATGTTAGACAATTTATTTTCCCAAGAAAAGTTTGATTTTTGAACTAGTAGAAATATTAACAAAAAGAAAATAGATGAAAATTTTAAAAGTCAAACAAAAACTCGAATGTCGTACGTAGAATGGTTTGATATTCAATGTTATTTCAAACTAGAACAAAAAATCAATTAAATTTAATATATATAAAATTAAATATATATAAAAGAGTGATAAAAAACAAATCCAAAGTAAAATAGAACTTGAAATTTTGAAACTCAAAAAAAAATTATACATTTTTTACTATTCTTTCATCTGAAGTGAAGAAAACTTGGTATCACTTCAGTGAACAGTCATATCCTTCCTTCTAATATTATTATATAATATTTTTATTATACAGTAAACTTCATTTAGCGCTATAACGCGAAGTCTTAAAAAACTCTAAATTTGCTTATTTACATTACAAAATTTCCGGATTTTTACTCGTATAATAAAATACTCGTATAGTGAAACATATTCAAAAATACATATAATATGTGTACACAAACTTTTAAAATGATATAGCACTCGTTATTCGAAATGTCGCTCGTTAAGCGAGACATTTTTCTTACAATTCATTTTGCTCGTTAAGCGCAATGCTCGTTATGCGAGGTTTCACTGTATATGTAAATGTGTCTTCTTTTAACACGTTAAACGAGGTCTTAGTGCATGTGTTTATTATAAACTTAAAATATTTAATTTAATAATAG